GGAAAAAATGGAAATAAAGTCTTTGTAAATAGGGAAGGGTGGAGGGGGTGAAGGGAGGACTAGGAATGGGGAAAAAATAAGAACCAAGATGAATTATGTAAAGGTACAATTCCCAATGAGAAATGTAATTGTGTTGTATACCTACAATGTACCAATGAAAGAATTTAACAAACAAAGCAAAAAAAAAAAAAAAAAAAAAAAGAAAGAAAGAAAGAAGAAGAAATGGCAAGACCTACTTAGGTGACACCAAGATTTTATTTTTCTGCAGGGCATGGATTTAGGGGAATAAAAGGAAAAGAGACTAGAGAAGTAGGTTGGGGCCCAAGTATGAAGAGGCTGAAGATAGGAGACTTCTTTAAAGATACATAGATATCCACAGAAGACCTTAAAACACTAAATAAAGTCAGAATTGTGCTTTAATAGAAAAGTATAGAGAAGAGAGAGATCTTTGGGAATTACCTCTGTTTAAGGGAGTGTCATGAGCAAGTTGCAAGGATTTAAGAGATATAAAGATAAACAGACAACTTTTTTTCTTAAAAGGTTGTTAGAAAAGGAAAGGACACTTCTGATACTTAAGGGGGAAAGAGAACGGACATCAAGGACCTTTAAGACAAAGAAAATTTGGAAAAATTTATAGTCCATGAGAAAGGGCTGGCAAACAGGGCCAGAAAAAAGAAAGTTACTGGAGTCAAGTTCTTGAAGCGCAATCAAGTATAAATGGAAGAGTGAAAAAGAGAAGTAGCACTCTTTCCTTTGAAAGGAGATAATTTCTGAGGAAAAGAGAAACCAGTGTTAAGGGAGTTGAACAGATGACTTAAACCTTACGAATAATAAGTGTTAATGTCTTCCTCTGAGAGGGAGAAAAATAGAGATTGGGTTGGGAGGTTGAGGAACATAGAAATAGTAAAGCAGCAGCCCAGGTGAGGAGGAAAGCAGTAGAGTGTCAACAGGAAATAACCACAGAATTGCCAGCTCCATGGCCTAGCTGAAGTTAGACAGCACCAGTTTATAGTGGACCCAATTAGTAGGAGTTTGGATTTTAAAAATTCTTCCGTAGTGCTTAGGGCTTCAGAGTGGATGAGAGATGAGCAGTAGGCTTATCCAGAGTCCAGGATTAGTGATTTGATTATGGAAGAGGAGAGGCTTACCAAGTGATGAAATGGCTGACTTTGAAATCCAGCCTAAGACTGAGGCAAATGAAACCAGAAGAACTGATGCTTGGGAGAAGATTGTAGGAAAGAAGACTAGGAGTCTCAGGTAGGAGCAGAGGGGGAAAGCTGAGTGTTCTCAGCCTTAGAGAGGTGAGGCCGGCAACTCATCCAACAGAGGAGAGATAAACACCACTGTCCTGAGGTGGCAAGGGATCTATGAGGGCAGAGCTTGATACTCTAAGGTGTTGGGAAAGGCTTGCATGAGGAGGAAGACTGAACAAGGTGCCTACTTCCTCCGGAAATGAAGAGAAGGCCCTATAAGTGGATGTCATGGGTTTCAAAAGAAAGGTTGAGGAGAGAGGCCTGAAGGAAGTATTGAGAAATAAAGATCATTCTGAAGGAATGAAGACTGAAGAGAAGACTCACTGAGGTTAAGGAGAAACCACATTATCAGGAAAATGTCAGGTTTCAGCCATGATGAGGAAGGGGAAGTTGTATTCATTCCCCAGAACTACTGTAACAAATTGCCACACACTAAGAGAGTTAAAACAAAAGAAGTTTATTCTCATAGTTCTGGAGGCTAGAAATCTGAAATCAAGGTTTCAGTGGGGCCACAATCCCTTTGAGGACTTTAGGGGAGAAAAGTTCTTTGCCTCTCTTAATAGTTTCTGGTGATCACTGGCAATCATTGGCATTCTTTGGCTTGTTTCATCCCTCCAACCTCTGCCTCCATTGTCAAATGACTGTCTCTCTTGTGTCTTCTTTTATTATAAGGGCACCAGTCATTAGATTTAGGGCTTACCTTAATTCAGCATAAACTCATCTTAACTAATTATATCTACAGATACCTTATTTCCAAGTAAGGTCACATTCTGATGTTCCAGATAGACTTGCATTCTGGGGATACACCATTCAACCCACTACAGAAGCATACTATGAGAAAAGTGAAGGAGCTATACAAGTTTTCCCATAATAAAATGCCGATTCTGTATGTGCAGTAGGAGTTGATGGAAGATAAACAAACCTGGCCTGGATGTGAGGAAGAGTAGGGATGACCTGAAAAGTTCAGAGTGAGGATCAGACAAGTTGCACATCTGGGCAAAATCTGTGGAAACAGTCAGGAGTTTGGTAGATGCTCCACTACTACTAGGGAATTCTAAATTGGCAGATTTTTATTGCTAAAATAGTCTCTACCAAAAATGTACCCAAGTAAAGTGGATTATTGTGCCATGGACGTCCAGTTCATCTTTTGGGGTACATAGTCCAGGTTTTTTTTTCCTCAAAGCACAATCATGAGACCAAAAAAATCCATATGATTTGCTTCCTTCAGCTGAAGTGAAAGTTCCATGAAGGGAAAGATTGTATCTCCTTTTTCCTTTGCATTCTTTGTAGGGCCTATTGTGTACTCTGGAAGCATCATCCTTATCCTCACAATGATGATAGTAGCTCAAGGTCTTTAAATACCTACTATGTGCTAAGTACCTTGCACCATCTCATTAAATACACTCTGTACTGGGAGAAAATGAAGTTCAGAGGAGTTGAGAAATTTGCCCATGGACATACAGCTGATTAATGGCAGGGTTGGGATTAGATCCATACTTGTCCAACTTCCATTGCTCAGAGTAAGCATATGGTGTTTGAAAGTTTCTCCTTTTCATTCATAGCTCTGATATGGCTTCTGATTAGTAAGCACACATCTAGTGACTTGTGCCTCAATATGATTTCCGCATAATGGAGGTAAACTGTCATTATGTCCCTCTCTTAGTGGTATATTAAGAGCCTTTTAAAGTCACAGATAATTTTGACTCTAATGTTAACTTTGGAGCCACGTAAGAAACCAAAGCAAACAACAATGAAAATGAACAAAGGGCGTACTTTAAATGACTGAATAAAAAACACTGATGCCAACATATGTTATATTCAGAATATTATGGTAGTACTTGATAGTGAATTAGCTTAAACTTGTCCAGTTACAAGATACCATCAGAGTACCCTCTCCTCTTCGGTCTCTCTTTCTGTCTGTCTCCCGCTTCCCCCATGTATATGTTTCCCTCTCCCTTTTTCTCCCATCTCTGTCCTTCCCATAATTTAGCCCAGGTCTATCTTGGCTTGATGCATAGACCTAAGTTTTGGCTTCTTGTTCAAAAGTTGGCTTCTCCCCAGGCAGGTTGACCCTGGGAGGTGGGAAAGAGGACCACTGGTAGCCCTTGACTGATATTGCTCTTTGTCCCTCAGATTTCAGCAGGAGAGAGAGCCTCTCTCCCCCAGGGTCTATATTGTTCTCTGAAAAAAAAGATTCAGACGTTCTTATGCTTGCACTGTAGGCCCATTCATAGACTAATCACTCTATTGAAGGTATTGAAGTGCTTTGCCTCCCTGCATTTTGTGTTTACCTATATGATAGGTAAGGTGGGGAGCTTGATTTGACAATCCCGCCAGGTCTTGAAGAGGCTGTTATTAATAGAAACAGTTGTCCTTTGTCATAAAAAGGGGAAAGGGTTGCTGGGCAGGCAAAACCAACAAAACTTAACACTATAAGAAAAATTTAAAAATTACTTATCACCTCAACATAACTAGTGTTAATTTTGTGTATTATTTAGCAGTCATTGTTCATTTATATGTTGAAATTTATTCTATACAATTTTTAATCTTTATATTCAAATGTAGTGTTAAATGTTTTCTACATTGTTACATAAAAGTATTTCCTTTAAAACATGTATAGAAAAGAGCATAGAAAATGTTTATTAGAAGCTTATAGTGTTGTGTATAAGTGTAATTTTACTAAAACATCCCTGCCTATTAATTCCATTTAAGATATTAGGATTCTTTTTCAGTAAAGATTATTGTAACTGTAGCTACTTTGCTTCTCCTTGATTCCCCAGCCTGTGGAGGGTCATCAAGTCTGAGTTCTCCCAGCTGTCTTCATTAGCGGTCCCTCTCCTTCTCCATGCTCTGTCACTTCCTCATGGTGCTGACATCTTCTGGACAATCATAAATGGCAATTTCAACAGCAAAGACTGGAAGATGAGGTTTGAAGCAGGTACTTTTGTATTAGCTTAAGAATTCTCTGGTCATAAGGTAAACCAGATGTCCAGTTTTGACATCCATGTTTGACTTTCCTTTTTCTTCCTTTTTAAAAGGGCTTTCTGCTTTGCTGATTCTACTTATCTGAGCTTCCTTGATAACAGTGTTTCGCAGAGTAGTCCTTAGATGCAGTGACTCTCCATGTTTGCCTAAGTATAATTATGGCTGTTATTCAGTTTGTGGTAATAGCACCCTTGTTTAGTCCCCAAATGTGTCCTAGTAGCTTGGACTACAAATAACCAATTAGATTGCTTGTATCTGTTACTGGGATAGTTATTAAAAGCAGATTATTGAGTTTCACCTTAGACTGACAGAATCGGCATCTTAGTGCTGAGTGGTGAGGACTGGAATCTAGGTTTTTAAACAGGTCTTCCAGGTGATTCAGTAACGTGTGAGAGTACTTGTGGTACACCCATGTCACATCAGGGCCATCAGGGACCAAGTCTGCCACAGTGATGAATATGTACACAGAATGGCAAGTTCTCCGAGTAAGGTGGTAATGAGGGAACTTGAGTGTGTTTCCTTAGCCTCACATCTGTGGCTCACTGTCACCCCAGTCTTCAGGGTCAACAGGCCAGAGTGTAGCTCATCGGGACAGTTCCATGTATTTTAGTGTCTCAAAAGTTTGGTACAGAAATGGAAGTTCCATTAGTTATTATTACACCTTATAATTTAATTCCCTAATATCTGGCCATTTCAAAAAGTGCTTGCTTTTGGAAGCTCATATGAGTCTCAGGGCTGGTTTATTTATGATAGCACATGATGTTGTAGGGAATTAGATGTAGTAGTACACGAGAATTTTCTAGCAAAAATCTGCATGATATTTACAACAGTTATAGGGAATATTATATTTAAATGCAAATAAAGCAGATACCTATTTAATTGTGCTCTTTCATTCCAGTCAGGTTTACAGTGTTTCTAGATTGACCTTTTGAATCATAGCTGTGATTATGTTAACAGGTTTTCAGTGCCTAGAGAATAAAATTCAGACCCCTTCACTGACATACAAAGCCTCCCATAGTCTATCTGCATATATTTGCAGCCATGTTTCCCACACTTCTTTCTATATATGCCATCACTATTTCTCCATTGCTTTTTGCTTCCTTTCATGCCTTCACCATCTGTAGTCTCCATTTGAAACCTTCTTCCCTTCAAAGTCCTGTTCAATTGGCATCTCCATTTGATCCACCTTCAAATACCATCACTGAGGGCTGGGGATTTAGCTCAGTGGTTTCGCCGTCTGCTGCACAAGTGCAAGGACCCAAGTTTGATCCCCGGTACCAAAAAACCCAAACCAAAACAAATACCATCACTGAATTTCACCTTCAAGGTCCGCTCGGTGGAAAGTGGTTTTTCTGTTGCCTGGTCTCCCAGGGCATTTTATTCATACCTCATTAGAGACATTTACAGCTTTTTATAATATGTTACAGCTATGGTTGTCTCTTTTAGTCAACTTGGTTTTGAAGTCAAGAATTGTGAATGATTCATCTTTCATCTTTCTATTTACTTCCATCTCCCCCCACCAAATGTCTAAGGTAGTTTCTTAGTTATGTGTGTATGGTTTCTTAGTTATGTGTGTATTTTTTTTAAAATAAGCAAATCTATTACTTTATTGAATAAATACCATATGTAGTAGGCACTTTGGGAGCAATAAAGAGAAGTATAAGAGAAGATTCCTACTATTAAGGCCTCCAAATGTAATTGCTGAGACCAAACATAAACATATAAGAGGTTGACAAACTATAGAAGATATGAATATAATTTAAGAACCACCAAAAGGTACATGTCATATAACTATATATGAGCACATAAGTACAGTCTACAAATCAATAGTTTGTGAATAAGTAGTATTTCTGTAGGCCATCATGGAATGAAAAGACCAGAATGGACTTTACAGAGCAGGCAGACCTTCAGTATCAGATTCTTCAAAGATGATAAAATGTCCAAAAGCAGAAAAGAATGAGAGAATATCCTGGCTGCTGTAACATCTTTATTCCTTTTATTTCTTTCTCTTGTCTAATTGCTATGGCTAATGTTTCTAAAACTATATTGAACAGGAGTAGTGATAGTGGGCATCCTTGTCTTGTTCCTGATTTTAGCTTGAAGGATTTCAGTTTTTGACCATTTAGTATGATATTGGCTGTTGGTTTTTAACAGATGCCTTTTATCGGGTTGAAATAGAGCCTATTCCAATTTTCTGTGGGTTTTTTTTTTATCATGAATGTGTGTTGGATTTTGTTGAATGCTTTTTCGGCATCTATTGAGATGATCATATGGTTTTTGTCCTTGGCTCTGTTTATACAGTGTATTACATTTATTGGTTTGTGTATGCTGAACCATCCCTGCATCCCTGGGATGAATCCCACTTGGTCAGGGTGTATGATTTCTTGATGATCTTCTGCATTCTGTTTGCCAGTATCTTATCGAGGATTTTTGCATCTATGTTCATTAGTGAGATTGGCCTGTAGTTCTCTTTTTTGGGTGGGTCTTTCTCTGCTTTGGGGATCAAGGTGATGCTTGCTTCCAGGAATGAATTTGGAAGTATTGCTTCCCTTTCAATTTTGTCGAAGAGTTTGTTTGTTTATTTATTTATTTATTTATTTTGGTACCGGGGATCGAACTCAGGACCTTGCACTTTTGAGGTAGGCAGTGGCACCACTGAGCTAGATCCCTGCCCCATTGTTGAAGAGTTTAAACAGTAATGGCAATAGTTCTTCTCTAAATATCTTGTGGAATTCAGCAGTGAAGTCATCAGGACCCAGGCTTTTCTTAGTTGGTAAGTTTTTAATTATGTTTTCAATTTTGTTGATTGATATAGGGTTATTTAGAGGTTTTAGGTCTTCTTTATTCCATTTTGGTAATTCATATGTATCTAGAAATTTGTCCACTTCTTCTGTGTTTTCTGTCTTATTGGTTTATAGGTCCTGGAAGTAGGTATTGATGATCCTCTGGATTTCTGCTGGGTCTGTTGTAATTTCACCCTTTTCTTTCCTAATTGCATGGATTTGGACCTTTTCTTTCCTTTTTTAAATAAGGTTGGCTAAGGGTTTGTGAATTTTGTTCATTCTCTCGAAGAACAACTCTTTGCTTCATTGATTTTTTGTATCCTTCTCTTAGTCTCCATTGCACTGATTTCTCCTCTGATCTTTATAATTTCCTCCCTTGAATGAGCTTTGGGTTTGTCCTGCTTTTCTTTTTCTAGAAGCTTGAGATTCAGCATTAGGTTGTTTATTTGAGCTTGCTCTGTTTTCCTACAATTTAACTTCTTTGTTTCCTATCTTTATTCCTTTTATTTCTTTCTCTTTTCTAATTGCTGTGGCTAATGTTTCCAAAACTATATTGAACAGGAGTGGTGATAGTGGACATCCATGTCTTTGGCTGTTGTAACATCTTAATTCACATGGCACTATATTGTTTTATTAGCTATGTTAAGTAAGGCTATACTTTAAAAATGACTGGAATAATTTAATGTAGCTTTAAAGAATAAGTAGAAATTTATCAAGCAAAAATATAGACACAGAAGAAATATTATATGACTTCTGCAGTCTCAGAAAGTATCTGTTTGGTTTCTCATTTTACAACATGACCTACTAAGAGTGGTGTAGGGGCCCAGAAACCATATCCAGGCCTAGTGTGCACCCCTTTTCTCCCTTGATAGTCTGCAGAACTTCCATGGATTGGCCACAGAAATGAACAGAGAGGTATTTCGAGCAGTTTAAAATGTAGCTGACTGCTAAACAAAGAGAAAGACTATTGTAAAAGTGTAAAAGACAGTATTAAACCAAGCCTGCCTGACAGAAAACTACTGGACTGAATAGAAACAGTCTTTGCTGCATAGAAGAAATTGAACACTGGACAGGGTGGCAGGAGAATTTCCTTTTGGTATTTAAAATTGCCATGTGGGGGCCTTGAGTTGACTTTTTCTGTGGGTTCAGTTTTCAGACTATCTAAATAAATGTCAATATACATGCTTGCATTTTGTCCTCGGTTATTTTTCATTGCAGTGGAAAAAGTGGCTGTAATTTGTAGGTTTCTGGATATTCACTCAGTGACCAAGAACCACCTCCTGAAGTATTCCCTGGCACATGCCTTCTGTTGCTTTCTGACAGCTGTGGAGGATGTCAACCCAGCAGTGGCTACCAGGGCAGGCCTCCTGCTTGACACGATAAAGAGGCCAGCATTGCAGGTGACATGTGATAAGTGTTATTTGCTTTGCAGATGTCTGTGTCAGCACCATTGAATCATTGAGTTGTCAAATTTTTTGTCTTTTAGTCTTTCTATAATAAAATACCATAAGTACAACAGCTTATAAAAATAATAGAAATTTATTCACCATAGTTCTGGAGGTTAGGAAGGCCAAGATCAAGGGGTTGGAAGATTCAGCATCTGGTGAAGACTCACTTTCTGGTTTATAGATAGTGCCTTTCACCATGTCTGAGGCTTTTTTTTTTTTTTAGTAGGAATACCTCTGCCCACAAGATCTAATTATCTCTCAAAGGCCCCAACTCCTAATAGTATCCCATTAAGGTGGAAGATTTCAACATATGAATTTTTTAGGGGGACACAAGCATTTAGAAATAAGCACATAAATGCATTATATTGATGATGATGATAATAGTGGAGATTTGTGTGTGTGTGTGTGTGTGTGTGTGTGAATGTTCAAATGCATGTTGCTAAGTTATAATAAAAACAAAACACAAAAAGAGCTTCTTTGCCAGAAGCTCTCCCTATCCAGTGGAAATTTTTAAATTGGAAAAAAGAATCCTAAATCTACACTTTCATAAAAGGTCCTTTTAGTGGTACTTTCATTTCAGTCTTTGTCCATAGTTCCTATCACTTTTGGACGGATGAGATTATTATATACCTTCTTGTTGTATATGTATATGACACGTTTCTAAACTAGGCTGGCATTTCCTGTCGTTAGATGTTAGATGCTAAGAGAAATCAGATGAATTGCAGTATAATCAAAGTAAAACATGAGAAGGTGATATGCTGCCCAAATGAAATGTCACATATTAAAGATGGAGACGTGAAATATGAGACCTGGGTATATTTATCTTTTGAGTCTCTTTACTTATAAGTGATAAGCTGGGTCTCCAGGAGAGAGAATGTGACTTATCCAAGTGAGTTAGTAAGAAAATCAAGAATAGAACCTCCAGTTTCTCTACTTTGATACCAATGTTATTTTGCTCTTATTATTAAAACTAATAATAATGGCAAGAGTTATTATTTGCCAAATAGATACTATATTGCCAGGGAAGTATATTAAAAGTGTACCATCTGGGCCGGGGATCTAGCGCAGTGGTTCTGCTGCCTGCCTCACAAGCGCAAGGACCCGAGTTCGATCCCCGGTACCAAAAACAAAAACAAAAGTGTACCATCACATGTTACCTTATTCCACCCACACAATAATCTCTTTGTGTTCCCATATCACAGATAGAGAAGCTGAAGGTTAGAAAGGTAAAGTCACTTTTTAAGGGTCATATAGCTAGTAAGCAAAACAAACTCAGGTCTGATTTATAATAAAATCCATATTTTTAACTCTGTGTGTGTATGTGTACACACTGGTTCCCAAGTGCAAGGGTTCTTCCTATATTTTAATACCTATAAGCAAGGACAAACTGTTCCAGATGTGATAAAGTGTAGGGCTGTGCTGCCGGTGGCGTGTCTTCACTTGTAAATCCCCTATTGGTCTTCTAGACAGTCCTCTCTGTCGTTTTAGTCGGTATTGTGTGTCCTACTCTTGCTGAGGACCTGGGACGTGGGAGGCATTCATTAGATGACAGTCAGATGAATAAATGGGATGGCTGAGGAATTATAATTTTTAAATTTCAGCCAGTTAAAAAGAGGAGGAACGGCTGGGCATGGTGACACATGCCTGTAATCCCAGTACTTAGGAGGCTGAGGCAGGAGGATTGCCCCAAGTTCAAGACCAGCCTAGGCTACATAATGAGTTCAAGGCCACCTTGAACTACAGAGCAAGACCCTGTCTCAAACAAAGGGGAGAAGGATGCTAGACTAATGGGCTAGAGAAATGGATGCTGTCTTGATCCCAACCTTCATTTTTTTAACAATCCCTGTTCCACTCACATTCCAAGATGACAAGGTAATTTTATTTTCTTTTAGAACTACACTGTTTAGGATTGAAATGAAATTTAAAGGCTGTCTTCTCATATATTCTAAAATGTAGCTTTAAAAGAATGGTTTTGGGGGCCTGGGATTTAGCTCGGTGATGCCACGACCTGCCTTGCATGCACAAGGTCCTGAGTTCAATCCCTGGTACAAAAAAAAAAAAAAAAAGAATGCTTCTCTTACTGAAAACTGTGGACATTAAAAAAGATATTCTGGTTGAGATATTTAGATTAAGTGCTAATTATTTAATGCACTAAAAATCAATAACATACAAAAATTCAAAAGATATTCTACAATTAGAAGTTCTGAATTTCTCCTACCAATACTTTACATCAAAAATATTTCAGTTGGATCATTTTACTTATAAGTATGGATGGAGGAGGTTGCTTTGTTTCATTGATTGTCCATAGTATATTGTCTTTGAAGTGTCTTAGACGTTTACATCTGATTTTCTTTCTTTCCTTTTTCCCAGGGTCTGTGTCTTTGTCTTGACTTTCAGTTTGATACTGTGGTTAAAGACAGACCCACAATATTGAGCAAGCTTTTACTCTTGCATTTTCTTAAGCAAGATATTCCTGCTTTGAGCTGGGAGTTCTTTGTCAACAGATTTGAGACGCTTTCTTTGGAAGCTCAGCTACATTTGGACTGTAACAAAGAATTTCCTTTTCCTACAAGTAAGTAGAACACAGACTTTGTTGTAGACAGCCATAGTTCTTAATCTTGTTAGGTAAGCAAAAGACATTTGGCATGTAATTTAACTTCCCATATGGAAGATGATATCTTTCTTGACTTCATGTACTCAATTCATCAAATTTTTATTGACTATCTTTTACACTAATCCATGAATTTAAGTATATTCTGGCATTACGAAATCTGAATTCTTCTGATTTCCTTGAAGGCCTATATTACCCATTTGTGACTGCAGGTTCCTTAAATATTAATCAATCATTATGTTTCTAATGTTTGGGAGCAATTTTGTGGGATATATTTTGCGATCTGCGTACTCTTGTATGCTTGTTAATCACTTGATTGTAATTCTAAATAGATGGAGAAAAGATTATAAAATTAGATAATTTAATTTTGTAGTCTAAACAGAAAAATGATAGTGGTGATAGAGTAGTCATGATTTTCTTCAGGTAAGATTCATCATAGAAAGAGATGGATAACTCATGCATCTGTGCAAGATGTCTTTTTATATCAAAACTGTACACAGGTGGATTATTTCAAACTAGCTTTGTGACATAGCAAGGAGAGGATGATGATAACCTTTTAAATTCTTTTCAAAAAGCTATCACTGCTGTGAGGACCAATGTTGCTAACCTCAGTGATGCTGCACTGTGGAAGATCAAGAGGGCTCGCTTTGCAAGGAACCGCCAAAAGAGTGTGCGGTCTCTGAGGGACAGTGTGAAAGGGCCCGCGGAATCCAAGAGGGCACTCTCCCTCCCTGAGACCCTGACTTCCAAAATTCGTTGAGTATCTTCTTCCATTAAATTTGTTTAATGTCTTTCTGAGGCTGGCTTGTCTTGTTGAATGTTCACAGAGTAGCAGATTTAGGAAACTGAGCTTGTTCAACAAGCTTGGCTTTCAGATTCCCTAGAAAATCACCCTGGGGTGTAAGTGTCACGAGTGGCCCTTTCTAGTTGGTGGGTATAGCAAAGCCTTGATCCAACAATAGATTTTATTGAAATGTAGAAGGCAGCATATTCACTGATGCTTGGCATGAAACTTAGAAGCATTTGCCCTTCAGTCCTAGAATCTGAAGGTTTGCACACCAGCCTTGCAAACTAAGTGCTTTCTGGATAAAAGATAAACGGCAAGACCTTTGCGGACAAGAGGCAGCGCTGAAATTGAGAAGGCATTTTCTTTTCTTGCATGCTAGAAGCAGCCGTACCAATAATGGTTGTTTCTAAAAAGAAAAGGTTGAATTTCTACGCAACTTCACCAGATAATTTACAAATAACACAAGCTTTGTTGTAAATTAAAAAGAAAATTTCATATATACTTGTTTTATAAAGGTCTTTTTGTTGCACTTTTAAAGAGAATAAAATTTTCCTTAAATTATCAAAGGACTAGATAAACTCTAATGTTTACCAATGGCCCATGAGTGACAAATAATTAAAAATTCATAGCCAAATGACCATGTTAATGAATAAATATATTTAAATATATTACTAACTTATAAAAACCATTAAAAGATTTAATCTTTAAATGACATCTAAGACATTATTCTTGTCAGAAATGGAAAGGTTTGCTTTTCACTGGCATTTACTAGGAAACAGCCTTATATAACATAATCATTTTAAAATCATAAATATGATTTGATTTTATTTATTACATTTTTCTCTACTTTATGCTAAAGTATGGGAATGTGGTATTCTGAAATTTAGAAGAGTCAATGAAAGCCCTTTAAGTAATTGATAACTCAGTTTTTCCAGGGAGCAGAGATGATCAAGGTGGTCATTTAAGAATAACCTACAGTAATGTGAGAACCTAGGAAAAGCTTTTTCAGACCCTAGAAACCAATACCTAGACAAAATAAATTATAATTTTTATATGAGATTCCCAGCTTGTTTATAATCTAACTAATCAGTTTGGGGTATAAAGTATATATTATTATTTCTTGTTAATTGGTTCACATGGCAGTTTTGAAGATTAAGAACTGAAGCAACATTGAAAGGATCTTTTTAAGATCCAAATAAAACTACAAAACTTTTGTTGCATAGACATCTTTTCTGTGTTGGTAACTGTAAGTAGGAAAGCTAAACTTGCTCTTAGTATCCAATGCAGTTAGCACTGAGTATGTTTTGTAGGCTCAAGTTGTTTGTAATGTTTATTTAAATAGAGTTGTTGTTGATTTTTAAGCTGTGAGGTTGACCAGGCAAGAGCAGTCTGCTCCAGCTCTCGGTGGGACACCTGAACAGACACCAGGTGGGTACTTCTGACATTGAGGGGCTGTATGCAAGTGTCTACCATAGGTGGACAAGATAAAGAATTTGGTGTCTCTAAGTGGACCATAGTGATATCCTTAGGATTTGTAAGCTCAAAAGCATCTTATCCTAGATGCTCAAGTGTTGGAGCCCCTGAAATGGCAATTCTTTCCGTCTTATTCTCAGCAGATGACTTTTGATCCCACTAACTTTTGGTCCAGTAAGAAGCATCGTATTACCTGAGTATGAGCATCTCCCAGAGAGCAAATACAGCTAGAACTATACACAATACTTGTATTTGTATGTGTATTTACACATAGAAATATTATATTCATATATATCTGCTATAGGCAAAACATACATTTCATTTACATTTGTAAAAGTTATACATTTGAACCACCATCATCTGCTCATTCCCTTAGCCATTCCTGATTTGCAATTCTTCACACATTTCTGTTTCTCAGAGAAAGGAGGAATTCCATTGTTTAGAGGACCATAGGATCATATTCAGCATGATATAGTGTAATTTATCATTGATTTCCATATTGCAATTTATCATGAGCATCCTGAGGATTGAAGAGACATTGACAAGGTCATTATGACTCAACATTATCCACACAAATGGTGTCATTATTCACTGGGAAGATCAGAGAGGCTCTGAATACCTGCTTATTTGTGAAAAACAAACTTGGTACCTACCACCTATGCATCACACTACAGAATGTTTCATTTTTTCATCTAGGTATAGTTTTAAGATAAACTTTCCAGAATGCTAGTGATCCTCTCAGAAAGAAAATTTCAAGTAAGAAGACTTTGAAGATAGTGTGTATTACGTGTTACAGAAAGGACCCCTGAAAGAGAAGTCAGGAGTAGGAGATGAGAAGAGAGAGAGCCCCAAATGTCGGGAATGCAGATGGCATATGGTGGCCGAAAGTGTATTTTCTCTTTTAAAACTGTTGAGAAAAAAGGAATAGCAGGCACTTGGCAGAGTCCCTGTACCTTGATTTATATATTATTCGTGTCTCTACTGTGCTGTGATTAAAAAAAAGAATAGAGGGCCAGGGACTTAGCTCAGTGGCACCGCACCTGCCTCGCAAGTGCAAGGTCCTGAGTTTGATTCCCAGTACAAGAAAAAAAAGAATAGAAGTAAGAATTTCTGATCCTGAGCCTCACTGGAAAAGTGATATCCATTCAGTAACTCCCAGCAGGCCTTTTTGAGGTTGTTCTTATGTAATTTCATAAATTTTCTTAATTTTATTCCAGCTTGTCTTTTTCTCTTAAGGCTTCGCTGAAATGCTAGTCTTTAATTACCATTACCCATTTTGATCTAAGAAAAGAGTCCCTTCCATCTCTGTGGGAAAACATGTACATGTGTTTCTTGAAGTTAAGAAAAGCCTTCAAGCATCTAATTATCCCATCAAATGACCAGATGGAAAAGGGATAGATAATAGCATTGTTTAAATTAAATATGAAACTAACATTTCTGAGAAGGTAATTTACATGACACCCTCATAAGTAAAACTTGCTTAGGTTTGGAAACAGTAAGGTCAGATTCAAACTAGTGTTCCATTTTTTTGCGCTGGACATTGAATGTTTTAATTTGGAAGAAAAACAGGCCAGGATAATCATAAGATTGTGCAGGATGGTTTAAAATAGTAATTAAATGGAAACTGAAGGACTTGCTACTTAAGGAACATACTTTTGTATGGTCTAAGTAATGAGGTCCTCTGTGCAGACCTCTTATTGACTGGGCCTGAAATAAAACATGTTATTAAATTAAGCAGCAAGACTTAATTTTAATTGCTGTTTAGGCTGAACTTTCTTGGCTGTGTATACCATTTATGCCTCTTTGATCTTAACTTTTATATAGGACCCACAACGAATAAAACAGAAAATTTTATTTTCTATCAAAATATACTCTGCAAGGCTTGTAAGGAGCCAAATTCCTCTGTGATTTTTATGAGTCAAACCAAAGGCCTTTGTACATATAAAAACATTCATAGAATGCTATGGCTGAGACACTAGAGATATACTAACGTTCTCATTTTACAGAAGAGACTGGGTTTTGCACAAAGGAACAAGTGTCACAAGCTTGTTGGTGACAGACCTGGGTCTCAGGCCCAGAGTTTCTGAGTGTTCTATCTATAAGTCATGCATGGTTAATTCTTCTAGGATTTCAGCACCTTTTTAAAAATCCCAACTAATAAAATACAAAATATTTTGAAGTGCTAACCTGAAATCTGTGTAATTAAATATAGGGAATATTTTTGCGGATGCTGTGAGATCCAGGGGTTCTTTGTCTTTGGATACTTAAAAAATTAATGTTGAAGATTTCTTGAATATAATCCAGCACAATACTGAACAAACACTATCAACCCAATGAACACAAGGTGCCTAATTATATCTTGCTTTTTATCCCCTGGAATAAATAATTAAATGATAATAGGTATATAATAATAATATGATATTTCATATATGTATAATACCTCTTTATTTAAAAAGAATATTTATGCAAATCACCTAACTTTGATCTGTAACAACTCTGGATATATGCAAGGTATTAATTTTTTACTTTACATACAGACAGGAAAACTGACACTGAGAAATTAAATACTTCTGCTTAGGAAGCTTGTTGAAGGTCACATCTGACTACTTTGTGACAGGCCTGATACTCGCATTCAGAAGACTTGGCTTTCCTTTTTTCTGCTAAAACTACCTCTTGATGAATTGGTCTTAGGGTATTTCTGCCTAGTGGGACATGAGGGCACCAGTCTGGCTATGGAGTCAGGCCTGCTACAGTGAAGCTTAAGCCCATTTTTGTCTAGAGCAAAGGACTTTTCCCAGTTTGGTTAGAATCCCTGGTTGGCCCAGAGCTGACACAGTCCTCAGAATACAGCAGTTTTCCAGTTCTGTTCTAACCTGTGGAGAAACCTGGAGTTCTCTTGTTCCACATTGTATGTCTAAGGGTAGGTGCCCAGCATAACTCTCTTGTACTGACCTTCCTTGCCTCCTCATTCGTGTCCCAGGCTGGCATTCCGAATAACTTCTTTTTGGGCTCTCTTTCCTTCTACAGATAATTAAAAATTCACTAGCTTTTAAACTTACAGAATACCCATTGATCATTAAAGTCCAAATAATTGAAGAGTACAGTTGATTTTATAGGAATGCTCTTGTTTGAAATTATATTTTTAGGAAATAAATTTTTTTCAGCAAACATTTACTTTCTACATGTTCTACCAGGATAAATGAAGAATACTAAGATGGATCAGAACTTTTTATATTTTCATCTTGCTTATGGTTAAATAAGGGAGATAAATTATGACCACCAGTAAATTCTCATCTAGAGTGAATGTAATGGCACTTAGGGTGGTTGGTGTCAAATGCAGTGGGAGGAGAGTTATCTACCAGCTGGGGCAATCAGTGACAGTTTTGTAAACAGGTGGCTTTTTAACCAGGCCTGGATTGATGACAGGATATAAATACATAGTGATAAGATGTGGGATAGGAAGGGAAGAGGGTAGAGAGAAGGAGCAAAGAGCATATGAAGTTAGCTTCGGGCACCAGCTTTCCAGTCCCCCCTCCCCCTTCTTCTTTTTCTACCCCTCCCCCCTCCCTTCTCCTTCCTCTCCTCTTCCTCCTTCTTATTTTCCTCCTCCCTCTTCTACCCCTACCTCTTCTTCTTCCTCTTACTTCCCCTTTCTGCTTTCTTCTCCTCCAAGCCTCTTTTCTTTCTTCTTTTATTTTTATGATACTAGGGATTGAACCCAGAGCCTTTGCCCCAAGCAACATCCCAGCCCTTTTTGTTTTTATTTTTTGTTTTGAGCCTTTCTATGGCTGTACACACACAACAGAACTGCTAAAAGTGGAGCTTTAAGATAATGAGATATTGAGATCAATGAGGCAATATAATTGGAGCTATGGGCAAAATGCAACCTTATTTATAGTGTTTGAACATTGGTTTTTCTGGACCAAATGCAGAGTAAGCTCGTGGATGGAGTCCTTGCTTCTTCCAACTAATTGTTACTTGTTGCTTTGACAGAGGAGTCAGTGGGTCAACTTATACAGAACAATGTTCTCTGTTTTTCTAGTCATTTCCTTACTATTTTGGCACTTCATCAACTTTTCTCTTATATAGAAAACAAGATTGGAAATTTTACTTGAGTTCAGTGCACTTCGACACTTACAAGGAATAAGGATCTATTATGTCAGACTTAGTGCCGTATGCTGTGAAGGATATAAAGATGGATGAAACATAGCATGTGCCTTCAAGGACTTGATGGTCAATAAATGAAGAAATAAAATGTTCTGCCTTGCATAGTAGTTCTCTGCCACCTGAATGTTAGGAAATGCTAAAGGAAACTCTCTATTCTTCTCTTTTTCCCCTCCCATCTTCCCTTTTTTTCTTTTCTTTGGAAAGTAATGGAATTTAGGGATCACATCTAATTAGTGAGGGTAGGGTGGACATATATACTAAGAATGGCTTGCTGGGTCCAGATCCACATAAAATGTGGAGGGAAGAGGTGGGGCACCACTCTCCAGGTGAAGAAAGCACTGTGGAACGAAGACGCAAAGGTGGGTCTACTCTGAGATCCACAAGTAGCCCAGCTTACAGGAATGGGAGCATTCTGGGTGGAGTGACAGGAGACAAGTCTGGAAAAGCAGATCCTGATCCTGCCTGGTTTCTTTATAGCATTGTCTTCTACTTTGGAGTTTCAATCAGTTATTCAACTCTGTGGGCAAGCCATGGTGGACTCAGTCCACACTAAAGTTATGGTAGGGACAGCACTGCTCTGTGATTATAAGGATGCCTATGTTTTTCTTATAGAAATAATAAAATCAAACCTCAGAACATATTAAATTGCTGTAGTTAAGATGGATAAAGGAATTTCATATACTAGAATTCAAAACTAATACTAATAATTCAAAACTAATAATAAAAATGATCATATCTTAGAGAAAATATTGTAGGTATTTAGATTTAAAATGGAAATTCATACTTTTAATGTACAGTTGAAAGAATAACACTATCTTTATCAATATACACTTCAGCTTATCACTTATCATTACACTTCAGTTTGTCTGCAGCTCATTTTTCTCAGGGAGCTGGTTAAGTGACTCTTCTGTGTGAAGAGTATCAGTTTATTATTATTTTAAAGAAAGATGATAAAGTGCAGACTCACAGTGCTCATAATGGGAGGGGTAAACTCTTTATTGGAATTATAAATTTTTAAAAATTTGTTTTATTAGCTCATTCTTTTTTTAGTACATTTAATGGTTTGTTAAAGATCATTCATTACTATTTAGGGAAAGCAAGTAGGAGCAGCAGAGGGCACTCCAAAACATTGGAGATCAACGAAGATGAATCTACAGTGAGATTAGGACATGTTGGAAATGACAATCATTAGGAAAATATCGTTTGCTGGGAAAACATAAGGCTACATACACTTTAAAAAAACACATACATTTGTAGTAGAAATAAGAGTTTTGGGGATGTTTAAGCTGGAGTCTGATGGCTTATTTTCTAGACTTGACTCAGGATAGAAAAAATGGAGGCAGGGTACTAGTTGGAAGCTCCCTTTCTTCTGTACTGAGATCCTTAGATTCCCAGGGCTGTAAATCAGAGGTACAACTCTCTCTCAGATATTTCCCACTTCCATTTTTTTTTTAACTTTGTGATTTTGAAGTCTAGTCACTTTGGATTTGGAGGAGCCAGTCAGGTCTGAGTGATACATGCTCTCCTAAACCTTGCACCCCAGAGCTAAAAGGAATTGAATGTTAATACTATATTGTAGTAGCCATCACTTGCTGCTACAATAATATTTGACCCTCCAGGGAACCTAGATTCCCACACTTGCCACACTCTTGGCCTAAACTTGCCCAAAGTACTAATGTTCCTCTAGTTGTAAAGTAATACTGTAGAGGGGAAAAAATCAAAATAGATATTTTTCAATACAGAAAAGAGAGTTCTCTAAACTTTTCTGTTTTGTTTTACAAGTATTTACATAGGTATTGTTTTTGGCCAAATTCTATATTAAAATGTTTAATATAATTACAATATACAGTGATGCTTCATATTTCCAGCCTCTTAGTGTTCCACATAAATTTATTTCTTTTCTGATGCATATCTAATAAATAATATTAATAATTTATTGATTACTCTCTGCACATGAAACACTGCAATAAATTGTTAGGTTTCATTTGAATAAAGTATATTACACATATTTATTCCTTCATGAACAGACTTGACGAGACAGAAGATGTTAGTATCCCAAAGTCACACTGACAAGTATCAAATGATTTGCCCCACATCAGAAGCGTTTAGACTAAGTTTATTCTGCTGCCTCTTCAGTCATTGTCGACTATCCCTTCTCAGCTTATCATTTTTGAACAGACAAACATTATTCTGATCATCTAGGGAAACTAGATAACCAAGCTTGTTACCTTATGTGCAGGTCTTAACTAGTAATCTCTGAATTTGACATTACGTTCATGCAACTGTCCCAGAGAAAAATGTTTGGGCTTCAGAGAGCTAATTTCTGTAGTCCATGAAAATATTTCTTATATCTTGCTTATTTTGACAATGTCCTGGAAGATTGATATTTTCCTAGATTAATTGAAGAGTCAGTGGGTATAAATTGCTACCTAGCTGTGTTGCATCATTTTTACAATAATTATAATTAATGTAACCAGGTTTTGGTTTATAATGATTTTAACCAAAGCTGATCATTTAGTATAATTTTTCCTTGAAGCATGAGAGAAGAGAATGCTGGTGTGTCTATCTAACTTCCTAGATAAAAACTTTGTTTTTAATTTGGAAATTCTAATGTTGCTTATCAAAAGAAGGACAAGAATACAAAGAAATATTTGAATAATCCTCAAAGCATAAATATAGAAGAGCAAATATCAATCTTCCTTCACCCAAAGGTATAAAGCAAGCCTTATCATAAAAGGGCAAAGGAATGGTATCTGATATAATGTCTTACTTTGAAAAGCTACTGAGGAAGTCAATGCCAGGGTGTTACTCAGATACAGTTATTTAATAGGCTAAGAAGAAGCCAAGGGCTAAGTATGCTTTGCATGTGAACTTTCAGCTCACCTTCCTGTGGTGTTTTTCTGTTTTTAGATGTTCATGCTTCTCTTTTTCTTTTATCTGTCTGTGTCCCCCCGCCATATGTTTCTCATTACATACTGCAGGAGTTTTAATGTGCTATTTACAATTTTTGACTATCTCATTCAAAGAGTACACATGGTGGTATGTCAAGATTTGGAAAAATTTTTTAAAAAGTTGATTCATGAATATAAGTAAATTGAGGTAGCATTTGAACAAAATACTCCATAGAATCTTTTTGTGCTCAGTGGATTCCAGACTATATTTTTGTTGTTATTCTTACATGTTTATTTAACAAAGCTGGAAGGGAAACTGCTCTTTATCACTGAGTATAAGACTTTGTCAACATATTTAAAAATTGCTAAATGCAGTTTAGCAATGGTAGGAGGACAACACTGCCTCACCACTATGGTTTTGTCTCCTCCCTCTCACTCTGGAATAATCTGATTGATGATGAATGCAATAGCAGAAGCGGAACCTCTGGACTGATGTTTTGCATAGGAGGCCATCTGGTGCCTTAGAGGTTCTTGGCTAGAAAAGAAACTTTAAATATATAGTAGAAGCAGAAAGAATGGACTTTATCAATATCAAGTGATATTTTAGGGTAAACTTGTTTGTTGGAGTACTGCCCACTGACAGCCTTTCTTGTACCGACAGGACAACAGTCTCCTGAGAATGACAACACCATCAAGGACCTGCTCCCAGAAGATGCTGGGATCGACCACCAGACAGTTCACCAGCTGATCACAGTTCTAATGAAGTTCATGGCCAAGGATGAGAGCAGCGCGGAGTCAGACATCAGCAGTGCAAAGGCCTTCAACACAGTCAAGCGGCACCTATATGTCTTACTCGGCTATGACCAACAGGAAGGTTGCTTCATGATTGCACCTCAAAAAATGCGCCTATCAACTTGTTTTAATGCATTTATTGCAGGAATCGCCCAAGTAAGTGTACTAACAGCTTTCAGAAGTCATAATATTAGGTTCTGGATATAAGCAAGGCATAAAATTTCGTTTAGAATCTGACAGTGATTGAGTATAAATAAAAGTTTGTGCAACAATGTATAAATGATATTGTATAATAGGAAGAAAAGGTGTAAAGGAGTAGGGGAAGTGGGAGGGGTAGGGGAAAGGAAACCAGGGAAGAGAAAAAATATGAGAAAAGGAAAAAAAATGGAAACAAAGTCTTTGCAAATAGAGAAGGGTGGAGGGGGTGAAGGGAGGGCAGGGGGGAAGGGGAAAAAATAACCAAGACACTCATGTAATGGTACAAGATCCCAATGATGAATGTAACTGTATTGTATACCTAAAATGTACCAATAAACTTAATGGAAAAAAATAATATGTAAATAAAGGTTTGTGCAAATTACTTGGGTTAGGCAGGAGTATATGAAGGAGAATTTAGAGATGAATAAGAATCAGTATCATGAATAAGAGTGTGTGGTTTTGTAAAATATATGTAACATAAAAATTACCATTTTAGCAATGTCTAAGCTTACAAATTTGGTAGCATTAAGCACATTCACTTTGTTATGGAGCCAACATTTTCCATCTCTAGACATTATCATCCTAAAACTGTACCCATTAAATGATAAAGGAGCAGAAGTTTTTTGTGTTTTGTAAAAATCCTTTTTCCTTTTTGGCTTCAAGTGGAGAGATGAGTTATTCATTATTGGCTTTCCATATTTGTCTGCTACTTCAAACTGCTGTATCATATGCTATTCTTTATATTTCCCACACTATTTATCCATTTACCTAGTGATGGCCACTCATATTGCTTCCAACTTCATACTACTACAAACAGCTTAGTAATGAACATCCTGTATACGCACCTACCAACCAATGTGAGAATTCTTTGGGGATATGGATCCAGAAGCAGAATTGCTGGATGATGGGCTATATTTATGCTTAATTACATTGGTGCTAAAAATCTCAGCCTCTAGGATGACTGCACCAGTCTGCAAAAGTGCAGGACCTGGGGCTAAAAAGATGTTTATGTGAATTGCAGCTTTTCCACTGTTATTCGTTCTTAGGCATCCTCTTCTTTGCTAATCAGTAACAGATTTATTAGAGACAGCACACTGCAAAGCACCTTATTCAGGGCCTGTCTCATGGTAGGAACTCAAGAGATGGTAGCTGAAACAGATTGTAATATAATGAAAACAAATAAAGTGATATTCATGTAGTTAATCTTTTACAGATACTGGTAACTAAGTAGATCACCATGGATACACAGCTGTCTGTGATGAAGAGAGATTATACCATTTTAGATAACAAATGTTTTTTCCTATCCTCCTTCCCATTCTTCTTCCTTCTCATCTCTAAATCTACATTGTGCATGCTTAGTTTAAAAATATAAGCAAAAAAATTAAAACCCCAGAAAACCCATGACAAAGATAACTAACTAACATTTTGGTGTATATTGCTCCTTGCATATTTGCATAATATATCCATTCATGTCCACATATGTGTGTATGTACATTATTTTTGTAACAATGGAATCATTATACATACTGATATATGTAATCTTTTCAGACTTAATATTTACTATGAAGTTCATATAATATAAACAAATTTGTATCACTTCCTATTTAATGACTATATAATATTCTGTTATTGTACAAACTATTTTATTTAACTGATTCTATATTGTTGAATATGGAGATTAATTTCAACTTGGGGCAGCAAAACCATGCTGAATATCTTTCCACATACATCTTAGAATGCTTATTTGATTATTTCCTTAGGGTACATTTAATTGCTATATAAGAGAGTACGTGATTTCTTTTTAAAAAACTCTGAATACATACTTCTAAGTCACTGTCCTGAAAGACCATAAAAAGTTCTACTCTTGCTAGTGATGTCTACAAGTGCCCATTTCTCTATATGGCTGCCAGTATAAATTTTTTTCCTAATAAGCCTAGTTTAATTCTAGTTATTAGTTTATTAGTCATGTTTAACTGTTTTCTATTTTTAGTAGATAATGGAATAAATAGATGAAAACTTCCAATTTACAATCTTTTTATTTCTTGTGCGGTTGAACTTTCCCCCTTTTATGTATACTGGCTATTACTACTACTAATATTTTGTGAGATGCATGTGTTTTTGTTATGATGGTTCAAATTTTTCTTTTTGACTTATGAGGGTTCTTTATAGTTTTCTTTCAGTTACTAATATTTTTTCTATTTCAGGTTATGGACTATAACATTAACTTGGGAAAACACCTTCTCCCCTTGGTAGTTCAGGTGCTCAAATACTGCTCTTGTCCTCAACTACGGCATTATTTCCAACAGCCACCTCGTTGTTCCCTCTGGTCCCTAAAACCTCACATCCGGCAGATGTGGTTGAAGGCCTTGCTTGTCATCCTTTACAAGGTGAGTTGCTGCAGACCCTCTGTTTTCAGATGAAGTGGTTCTCTTAGAGAGTACAACTTTAGGAAAACACCTATGAGATTTGAGTTGAGAATTTGGGAGGATAAAATTTTAACTTTCAGAAGAATCATCATGATATACAGTTAGTATTGAGAAGCAAAGAACTAGTGAAATGAAAGTCAGAATGAGAGGCTGTGTTAATACATGCTCTCAAAATGTTTTTAAAATGATGAATTGTAAGAAATTGATCAATAACCTTTGATTATGCTCAGATTTTCCCATTTGATCTAAGTATCATTATGTCAGAAAACAAAGAAGATATTTGAAATTATATTTACCAGATGTGTTCTTGATACCAGATAATGCTCTTGAAGGCAGTTGTAACTATAAACTGGCCTTTGTTACTTTCAGTGGTTTGATGCAAGAGGAAGAGAATATGGTCCCTAGTAAAATAAACCCATGATCAAAATCTGTGTTTTTACTTTTTTGTATATTTTTTTAAATCTCCATGAGATACTGAGAAAAAAATCTGGCATGATCAATTAGAGAAGCTTATTCTTTAAAATAACCATTTGTATTTTCTCCACCCATTTTATTGAGCAGTATCCATACCGAGACTGTGATATCAGCAAGATCCTGCTGCACCTGATTCACATAACAGTCAATACACTCAATGCACAGTACCATAGCTGCAAGCCCCATGCCACGGCAGGACCTCTGTACAGTGACAACAGTAATATAAGCAGATACAGCGAAAAAGAAAAAGGTAATTTCCATATTGAAATTCTATCCCCAACTTAGCTTGTATACATAATACATTTATGAACAGTACTTTTCTTAGGAGATAAAGGAGTGCCACCAAAAATCATTGTGAAATAAAACATCATTGTTTTTAAAATCTCCAAATTTTCCCATGAATGTTGCTGCTTTAAATTTTTAATTGAGCATTCAAAATAACTAACATGCTTCTAAAACCCATAAGAAATAATGTTTTCTAAAATGTTTTCAGCCATTTGATTAAAGAATCTTTGTAAATCTTTCCTTACATGTTAGAAATATCTTGTTTTTGGATTGTTATATAAATCTTGGTTGACAAGATTTATGACAAGAGGAGTCATCATTTGAGGGTCTCTAATTTACCTCTGAACTTTATGTACCCACAGAATTTGAATGGAGTATAAATTTTCTGAAATGCTTTTTTCCTAGCCTCTTTAGCAATGGAAATGTAACAGTTCTGGTGCATAAGTTTGAACTATTTTCAATCTTGACACTTTTTCTATTGATAACTTTTCCTCAAAGGAGACAGTAGAATGAAACTTTAAATATAACAGAATTACAGCTTGGATATTTTCAGGTGCGAAATAAAGAACCAAGGTGCATATCTGTAGTGAATGTCACACACACTGTGACTAGACTTGTAAAAGTGACGTCATCTATTCCAATCCTGGGAGAAAGCCAAGTGTTTGATGAGCATTTACGGTGTTAGTACAGTCAGAATTCATAGGAAATATCTTAGTAGGAGGGATTAGAGTCAGTGTTAAATTCATTGTTTATTGCTGAAAGATCCAAGAATCTAGGTTGACTTCTGAGACCCAGCTTCTTTAAATTCTGGAACCATTCAAATCCTTCCTGAAGAATATCTTGTGTACTACCTTAGGTCATAATCTTTGGGTAACTGGGTAGGTTCCATTAAGTTGTAGATGTTCTCAGTGTGTGCTTAGTGTTTGGGCTGATCCCAGATGAACCTTTCTGCATAGTAGATGCCATCTTGCTGTCTTCCCATCTCTATCATTCAGTATATTTTGAAAATTATTCCACAGTTATGTAATGGAAGTCTCAACAGCTATTTGGTCAAAAACTTGTATTTTTCAAAGATTTTTAAAAAAGGATAAAAGAGAAATAAAATAGATCGTTTTGTTACATTTCCCCAGAAACATGGGAATTTGATGGGCATTCTCATCTTTGTGGAAGTTCACTGGGAACTTTGTATCCATTTTGGTCAATAACATTTATTTTTTATTTGATTGAAAAGATTACTATGGTTATTTCACCTAACATTTACTGCTTTAGGTTTTGGTTGCTTATAGAATTTTGTGCATTAGGACAGGATAAATCCTGAAAACTTAACACTTATTTTCCTCCTGTGTATTCAAGAAATCTTGAATAATCATAATCCCACCTGAGCCTCATCTTGTCATATATAGATATAAACATAGGCCAAATATAATTTTAGTGATATTCAACTCAAACAGTAGGTTGATTCCATTTATTGTGATATTAAAATGCATGGTAATATCCTTTTCTCTTGCTGCTTTATACATGGTATTGGCCTTTCCAAAGGATGAAAGAAGAAAATTAGTTAAGTGTACTTTGTGAGTTGCAACATAACAATTCTTTGCTCACTAATGTGTATTTAGGTTTATTTTGATTTAAAAGTGACCACATGAGGATAGAAGAAAGAACAAAGATACAAGTCCAGTAGGAACTTTGAGTGACCCATTTTTTTTTATGGAGCCTTAAGATTGTGAAAGTAAAAGATTCTTTCTAGGACTCATGAGACCTATAACAATTACACATGGTAAACACCTCAGAGAAGAGTTTTACTTTAATAGGAAGAAATGTTATTTTCTGTTTTCCTTTTCCTTTGTTTACTCTTTCAGTCCATAATCATTTGTGAAGCTTTTGAGATGACAAGTGGCTTTTCTAAGCTTTTTCTGTGTGTTGTGTGTTTCATTACCAAATGTAGAGTACAGTATTTTGCATTCACAAAGTATAAGGTGCATGTACTGTTAGGCTGTGTCTATGCTAGTTCCCATATCCCAGGAAGGCATGTACTTTTTGGAAAGGTTAAGACCCATTTATTTTGTTTAATTTCCCTTTGCAAAATGAGCCTGGAAATCCATCAGGGCAGGCAAGTTCCAGGAGTGTCACGAACTGCTGGATAAAGTAGCTGGCGTCTATGTGTCATTTGGTCTTCAGTGCACTGGACATGTGTTCCTAGAAAAGCTCTATTGGGATATTGAGATGCTTCTCCAAAATGCTGCCAATTGTCACATCAAAAATGATGGGCAATCTTAGAACAGATTGCTTTGTGCAACATAGGGATATTTTGATGCCTGGGTGAAATATCAGGCTATAACTAGACTTGAAGAAACCACCTCAGACTCTTCCAGAATGCTTTCACTGAAATGCTTGTGTAGACACAGCCTAAGAGAGAATAACCTCTTAAGTGTAATTTTGACTTTCTCTCCCCAATTAGAAGAAGATAGTGTTTTTGATGAATCTGATATTCATGATACACCTACTGGACCCTGCAATAAAGAGTCTCAAACTTTTTTTGCAAGATTGAAAAGGATAGGCGGCAGCAAAATGGTGAAATATCAGCCGGTTGAGATGAATGTTCAGAGAAGTATGAATTTTTTCTCTTAGTAATTTTATGCAGAAATGTTGTACTCTACTGTTTGTTTGGGGTGAAATCTTAATTTTATTATGTTACTACATATTTTGATATTGTTGATTTTATATATATGTATGCACAAACAGTATATATATATACACATTTATATATATACGTGAATTAACAGATACATCATTAATGTCATGATTGTCTTCAAGGGCCATTGCTTGATTTGATTTGTTGCAAAATGTTTGCTTCTCTTCCACACAATATGAATACAGTTTCCTAGATCTGCCTCAGCCAAAACGATCCCCTCTTCTGTGCACAAATGAATAGAGCTGAGGAATTATCCCAAGGCTTGATTTTGGAAATCAGATCATAAACTACCATTTTGGTTTCTTTCAGTCCAAAATTTTCCAGTTTCTGAAATTAGAATGAACCTTAGAAAAATTTGGCCAGAAAGTCAGTTTTCCCTTCTGGTGGAGCTGGGATTGTGATTATGATTTATGCCAATAGTGTGCCCACGTATGAGGGGAAAAATGGTAAAATCTCCAAGTAAAATAGTACTAGCTTTTTCTGTTTTAATCAGGTGAAATAGAACTGGCTGAATATAGAGAAACGGGTGCATTACAAGACAGCATTCTCCACTGTGTGAGAGAAGAAAGCATTCAGAAAAAAAAGCTGCGCTCTTTAAAACAAAAATCTCTTGATATAGGGAATGCAGACTCCCTCTTGTTTACATTAGATGAGCATCGTAGAAAGTCTTGCATAGATCGGTGTGACATAGATAAGCCTCCTGTCCAAGCTACTTACATCACACAAAGACAAAACAACCACGGACGTTCTAGACAGAATTCTGCTACGAGGCCTGACACCATTGAAATACCTGAGAACCCAGCTATGGAAGGTTTTCAAGAAACCCGAAGGCCTGTAATACCAGAAGTTAGGTTAAACTGCATGGAGACGTTTGAGGTGAAAGTTGACTCTCCAGTGAAGGCTGCTCCTAAAGAGGATTTAGATCTGATAGATTTGTCCTCAGATTCAACATCTGGGCCTGAAAAACACTCTATACTCTCTACATCAGACAGTGACTCTCTTATCTTTGAACCTCTTCCACCCCTCAGAATAGTGGAGAGCGATGAAGAGGAGATGATGAACCAGGGAAATGATAGTCCTTCTGGTAACAATGCTGCCTCCTCCCCCTCCAGCCCCAGCCATCCTTCCGTCCTCAGCCTAAGCACAATTCCTCTTGTGCAAGTAAGTGTGGAGGACTGTTCCAAAGACTTCTCCTCTAAGGACTCAGGAAATAATCAGTCAGCAGATAACAAAGACTCTGTGCCCATATCCCTGAAAGATCCTACAGACTCTGAAGATTTTGCAAAGCCAGAGGAGCTGCGGGAGTTCTCCTGTGGCAGCCCACTAACGCTTAAGCAAAAGCGAGACCTCCTTCAGAAGTCATTTGCTCTCCCTGAGATGTCAATGGATGATAATTCTGACCCTGGCATGGAGGAAGAGAAGCCTGGCCAGATGCCAAGTTCAGGGGCAAAAACTGTACTTCTCAAAGTTCCTGAAGATGCTGAGAATCCAACAGAAAGCGAGAAGCCCAATACCAGTGCTGAATCGGATACAGAACAGAATCCTGAAAGGAAGGTGGAGGAGGATGGAGCTGAAGAATCAGAATTTAAGATTCAGATTGTTCCCAGGCAGAGGAAACAGAGAAAGATTGCTGTCAGTGCTATCCAGAGAGAGTACCTTGACATCTCCTTCAACGTTCTAGACAAATTGGGAGAACAGAAAGATCCAGGTAAGTTCATCTCTCTTCTTTTTCCCAGCCTTACCTTCAAGTTTGTGCATCTTACTTGACAGAGTTTTGGCAGAGAATATGCATCAAACTCAAGATCTTATAATGTCAGGGCGTGACATTATAATTGCTTCATAACCACTCTGAATCCTTCCTGCTTACTAGAATATGGTGGATTCAGATGTGGTTCTACTGGCTCCATACATGTTTCTGTGTTTGTTGTTTCTAAACTCTATAGTTAATTCTCGGCAATAAGAGGCAATGGTTAATTCATATCAGGATATTTCAAATATAATTTTAGCCTTTCTCAAACAGAAGCCATGAAGTTGAACTTTTTTTGCTTTTATTTTTCTGTTCTGTTATGATATAGTCCAAAGGAGGAACAAATATCAAGGGCTAAAATAAGCAAAGATACTTGAAATAATTAAGAACTGACTGCACAATCATTTAGAGTCTGCAATTGATGTATATACTAACCAAATATCAGGAACCAGAAACTACCAGTTACCATCTAGACCCTAATCTATGGGCATCATTTGATAATGAAATTGGCAGAGTACATGAATTTCTTGTCTCAAGTATCACTTCCTATGTTTTCTTGGAGACATTGTTTCTTAGAAGATAACTTTAAAAAGTGTCAAACTGCCAGGACTGTCCTCCCAATTCTAGTCCTACTTTTTTCACTGCTTCTCCTTAAAGCAACTTCTCTGAGAATGTGCTTGGGCTCCTTTAATTTGCCCCACACTGATAGGACAGAGCCTTGTATGTTCAAGATGTTCTGTAAAAGTCTGCTGACTGAATATGTATTTGGAAAGGGTCTTGCTCTGGCCAGGGGTGCAGGGGAGGTCCTGTTCATAACAGGAAAATAAATATAAGAACTCAGGAAAACTTCAAGGGAACTGGGATGATTTTTTAATTTTTTGAAGCTAGGAACATTGCTACACAGGGGTGAAGGATAGCATTGGTCTAGAAACTATAGAGATTTATAGGGTAGGGATATAATGAGGGCCCCAGGGTGGGTAAATAGGTCGTAATACATATGTTTGTGTGTGCATGTGTTATCTACTTCATTCACCCTTAGGTCTGTTGCTCCCCAGGCTACTGAGGAGGAGATTGTTTTTGTGTCCATATATTTGATACCAGAACAAGAGAAAAATATCTGACAATTATGATAATGTGTTTTTTTAGTTTATCAGTACATATGCATAGTATGTAATGTTTACATTCCTTGTGGATAGTTGGTACACGTACACAGCACATCTTGATTTCCTTTTTCATTCCTTTTTCCTATCCCCCCCGTCCCTTTTTCATTTTTATACATGTTTGTAGTATATAATGTTTGTAGTTCTTGTGTGAAGTTGTACATGCACATCCCAATTCTCTTTTTTTCATCCCTTACCCCTTTCTTCCTCCCACCTACCTCCATCTTATAATAATGTCTTTAAATGTTTTATATTATTATATAATTATAATACTTTTATATCTCTGTAATGCTCTACCTCCCACAAACATGCAGATCTTCTGTCCTTCCCTGCTGGGCACTGGGAGGAGGCCCATGGACTCAGAGTATGACTCAAATTTCTCTAGACTTCCTTGGTTCTCTTGGCAGGAGTGAGAGAGGCCCAGGCATCCACTCCTCCCAATTGTCACAGACTCACAGCCTTGCCACTGCTAATTGCCTGGATCCCAGGACCAATTTTACTGTGCACGCATCTCTCTGTGTTAGTTTTTTGTGAGACATTCAGAGTTCTGGGCCACTCCTTATCTCCCTCTCTAAGATTTCCATGAGGCCTTGCACACTTTCAGTTCGGAAGTTTTCTGCTAGGATAACCCAATTCACAAGCAAATTTGAGCCCAGCCTGGGCAACTTAGTGACTTAGTGAGATCCTGTCTCAAAAATAGAAGGGGGGGGGGGAAGAAGAGAGGGAAAGGGAAGAGGAAGAAGAAGAGGAAGAAGAGGAGAATGAGAAGGAAAAGGAAGAGCCGGAGGAGAAGGAGGGGGAGGGGGATGGGAAAGGGGAGGGGAGAAAGAATGGGGAGGTAGCTCAGTGAAAAACTCTGAGTTCAATCCCCAGTACCACAAACACACGCCCTTCTCCTGTATCCTCAGAAAGTCAAGATCCTTCACGAACAAAATCCCATGTATGTTTTCCCCCAGTGATAATTTCATTGCCTTATTAGTCTAATGAAAGCCCAACTCTCCCTGAGGACACTGCTTTCCTATCAGCCCTGCATCATTAGGCCTAGGCCAGGGGTTAGGCATCTTCCTTAACCATCATTGCCCCTTTTAGACCATTCCTCTTTGACTCTAAAAATCCCCAGTTCTGACTCCCCTGTCATGTCACCATACCACTCACAGTCTCATTGTTACGCCAGTACTAGCACCTGGCTCTTTCCTATTTGCTGACGGTTATGATTCTTGGCTCTTCTTACTCTTTTCTAAATTATTCTTGTCTTAATATTTGTTGATTTTGATATTAGTGACTCTTTTGACACTGTGGCTTTACTTCTCAGTTCCTTGAATTCATCTTCTTTAGGGTGTGTTTTTTTTTTTTGTCCTCCACCTTTTAGCTGTTTATTGCCATGGTCATATCACAAACCTTGTTATTACAAATAACCACTGTCTTTCGATAGTCTTGATCTCATCTGTTAGTCTCTGATTGCCATTCTCTCTCTTTCCTTATTTGTCCTACTATTTATCTTCATCTTTCCTCGACTTCATGTCCTCTCGCCTCACTCACCTTAAACTCAAGTTATAAGTATAATCTCTCTCTGCCTATACCTTTTGCTTTTTCATATTTGTTTGACTAAACACAGCTGTTGTGAAATCAAACTTTTTATTTACCAGTACAACTGCATCTGTCAGATGAATGTGACTAGAAAAAAAACACATAATGTTGACTTACTCATTTGAATTTCAGACCTTAAGCCTCACCTGGGCCCTTAAAGCCACCTGGAAGTCATACCATTTTCTTGATCCATATTTCTAGTCTCTCAAATGACAATTTCATAGCTACTTTTTGCTCCAGACTTTCAGTAACTTTTCCTATTTGATGTCATCAGAAGGAATTTCCACAGCCTTCCACCTCCTTCCTTCCAGCATCTGCACTTATACACCCAGATTTTTTTTTTGCTGGTGTTCCTGTCCAGGATCCTGTTTTGTCTATATTTCCTGTATTCTCCTCAAAGATATAAGCTCCCCAAATTCTCCACTCTTTCTCTTCCCTTTTGTTTTTCTAAAGGACTCTTGACTTGGGCATACAGATATTATTTCTCTCTTTATTAAAAAACAAACAAACCAGTGTTCTCTATCCTAATTCTTCTATTATCACTATCTCCAATTTTCTCCCATTGTATTCATTCTAAAAATCATCTTATGAAGCTTTCATTCCCACACCATCACCAAAATTATGCCTTTGAAGATCACCAAGGACCTCTATTGCTAAATCCAGTGGCCAGCTCTTAGATCTTATCTTCTGTCATGTCTACAATATTTGATTTAGGTGATTGCTTCCATTTCACTTGGCCTCCGGGATACTGTACTCTCGTGGTTTTCCTCTTATTCAGTGATCATGCTTTCTCAGTCTCTTTTGTTAGTTCCTCCTTGTCTCCCTAATGAAAGAGTGCCCTGGAGTCTCTCTTCTTGATCCTTTTCTCTATGCATATCCATTTTCTTAGTGAACTTATTTAGTCTTACAGCTCATGCATTGTTTGTAGCTGAGGCAACTGTCAGTTATCTATTGCTAGACAAATGTATATAATAATAATCAGCAGCATACAACAATAAGTTTTTAGTTTAAGAGTCCTTTAGTTATCTGGGGTTTGGCTAAGCTAGGGTTAGGCTAAGCTAGTTGGGTGGCCAGGCTCTGCTTCCCATGTCTGCCAACCTCCTCTAGGCACCATGAGGCCTAGGAACATTTTCTCATAGAAATAGCAGAGCCACAAGGGAACAAGCCCATTTGCACAAGTACTTTTCAAGCTTTTGATCACATTATGCTTGCATACATTTTGTTAGCCAAAGCAAACCACATGGCTGAACTCAAGCCAAGAGGGGAAATATACTCTGCCTCTTTATGGGGAGGAACTTGAAAATCACACAGTGATTAGCATCAATTCAGGGAGTGAAGAACTGGGACCACATCTCTCAAATACTGCATGGGATGTATTCATACTAAAAAATCTGTTGGTCACCTGAAATTAAAATTTAGTTGAGGATCCTTCATTTTTTCTGGCAATCTCAATCTACCTTCAAAACATCCATAATGTGACATCTTCTTAGTACATTGATTGTTTCTATCCTGGTCTAAGCCATGAATATTTCTTACCTGACAACTCCTAAAGCCTCCCAACTGGTCTCCTACCTTCTATCCTTATTGCCTTCATGTCCTCTCAACACAACAGCTACATGAGTCTATCAAATATGAGATTATGCCTTCTAGTGGCTCCTCCTGTGTTTAATAATAACATATCGAATTCTTTAAGTGCCCAGAAAACCTTGTATGGTCCCCATCCTCTTTAGCTGTCTTACTTCACTTGTACTGGTCTCTCCACAACCCTACTCTCCCAGTGGATTTCTTGCCATTTCTTGAATGCTTCCTACATATTCCTGCTGTAAGGCCTCTACAACAACTGGTCCCTCAACCTGGAACTGTCCAATAGCTTCTTGGCTCACTCCATCACTTCAGGCTCCCAATGAGGCCAGCTCTGGACTATAACACATCTTTCTACCCTTACCTGGCATCTTGGTATCTCTTTCTCTTCTACAAAGCATTGATCTTCTAACATACCTTTACACATATGATTATTTATCTCTCCCTACAAAAGTGAAAGGCAATGATTTTGTCTGGTTTGTTCACTGATTCTATTCCAATTGATAAGGAGAGTGCTGACCAATATCGGAGGAACGAAAGGATAGTACCACATTTTATGTACATCAGTATAAAAAAACTCAGTAGAGATGTGTTAAGACAGGCAGATACCTATGTTCAAATTTTTGTCTTAAACTATATATAAATAAGAGACTTCATAACATAAGGACTGAGAAAAGATTGAAGAGTCTTATTATACTAGTAATTGTTAATAACCTTCTTACAGTAATGATGTTTAATATTATAGATACATCAAGGATTTTAATAGGTGTATCAAAAACTACAAAAGTCATAATAATCTTCCAAAGAATTCTTGCAAATTAACTTTAAGCTTTCTCATTCTAGTTACTGGTGGGATTATTGTACCATAGTTGCAACACACGTAAAATAGAGGCAGATGAGGATAAAAGTGATAATTATACATGCTTTGGACTTATTTGGGGAGAATACAGAGAGAAAAATAATATCTATCTTTAATGTCATGACAACAATAACCTAAAATTAGTAGTTATTTTATGCTTTATTAAACAGGCTTGGGAAACTTTACAACAGCTATACTTTTTTATTATCAAGAAGATATTAATATGGCAGCCATAGTTATTCAGAAAGACCTCTGAGAATAAAAAAATTGATGTTCCAAAATCAATACTCAAAAATTTTCTTTCAGACCCTCACCTAGTATCTATTTTACTTTTATTTCTGACAGTTCCCCAAGCTTAATCAGTCATAGCAGAGAATATTTAATTTGTATGTGCACAAGAATGTATGGTAGATTGCTCTGTGGCAAGACAAAAACAGCTGGCACACCTGAAAAAGATGAGACAAAATATTTTTAAGCGTAAGAACGTGAAGCTTTTTAGGGTGGGTATCCCTCAGTGATATCACAGTGTCAGGGTGGTAACTCCAAGTCAGCAACATGCTCAGTATACTCATTGCCTAGTGCAGACATTTAAAGAACTTTAGGAGGTTTGCTACAACAGACCATTATACTTTTCAGAAAGTTTTCTAGCCAGTCTGTAGTTACCTAGAATAGTGTGGGCCAATTTGTTTCCCAGTACTGATAGGCAAATATATGTAGGAAAGATTTCACTGTAATAATAAGGCAACAGTATAGTTTCTTTCTTTTTTAACTAATAAAATATAAAATCTGAGTATTTGACATTGCATACAGTGTTTGCTTTTAAATTACATCTGGTTTAGCGAAGTTTATAGACATGTAAACAATTACATTATAGTGTGATAAGTTTGGAAAAGGTTAAGGACAAAGTGCCTGTAATTACATAAGAGGGTCACTGACCCAATGTTTGTTTACATTTTGGAAGGAAAATGGGGCCCTGGAAGGCTCCTTGAAAATAGAATTTTCTGTATGAATTGAGACATATATGATAAATAGGACACTGCAAGACAAAGGTGGAAATAGGTGAAATGGAATATTTAAGCATCTTTAGGTATTAGATGAAAAATTTAGTATGGGAAGATTAACCGACTAGTCAAGGACATGCATTGTGAACATTCTCAGCTTTAGCTTTGTAATCATGCTATCAGTCTCTAAGAGACATATCCATAGATGCAGGATGTAATGCCGAATCAGTCCTCTATGGAACTTTGAAACCATTGTGTATGTTATTCCCTTAATCATAGGACCAGAAAGTACATAAAGATTTGAGTGGGTGTAGTAGGCAAGAGGGAAAAAGATGGAAAATCCTCTTATACTTGCTTTTTCTAAGTGTTCTGAGTTTTAAATAATGTTTCCATTTATAGATCCCTCTACTAAAGGACTTTCAACTTTGGAAATGCCACGAGAGTCTTCATCTGCCCCTACATTAGAAGCAGGTGTGCCAGAAACAAGTAGTCATTCCTCAATATCAAGTAAGATTTCCTCTGGTGATCATTTTACTTGTGCACTGATTTTGGACACAATCTGCTGCATTGTTTTCAATTTTTCAATCTTGTTTTATTTTTTCCTTTTTAAAATGTTATGTTAGCTCTTTGGAGACACTATGTTATATGCTCTATGAGACCTTGAGGCGTAGCATGGCCCACTTTTGTCCAAGTATCTGACTACTCATATGGTTACTGACTAGCCAATAATCTTAATTTGTTGAAGAATAATCACTGAATTTTATCATTCAATAAAATAAAACCTATCTATTATAACCTAAGCATAAAACATGGCTCTGGTTATGCAGCATGTGCACAGCACCATCCATGGCAGGATTATACACAGAACATGTTTATTAAATTTGAGTCACTTCTAACATTGACAACATTTTATCTAGTTATCATACAATAAATTTATCATATATCATGATCTTACAGTCATGACTGAATCTAGCATTTTTGGATTGGAAAATTAAACAATATGGCATTTTACAAGTTCCATAGGAAGCTGTTGTTTTGAAACTGCCTCTCATGTGGGTCCTAGACTTTTTCTGCAGGAAGCTTGAATTCCATTGAGGTTCCATTAGGGTCAGTGGAGTCAAAAAGACTTCAACATGGGAAGTTCTTAACAGGAATCAGAGATACATAAAGGTGTACCTTGTGCAAACCTGTGTCACATGTTCTGACAAATTTTGTGTTCCATGTAGATGCTAGCTGAGGAGCTAGTTAATTTTCATTTGACCATCTTTTGAAATGAGAATAATCCTCAAAAGCCAAACAAAGATCTTAACATAAATTCCGGACTGGTAGTATGAAACATCATCATCATCTTCATCATCCATTCATTTGTTCATTCATTCATTCATTCAGAAATTATCTATTATCTTCTGTGTGCCAGGCATTGTGTTTGGCCCTGAAAAAAAAAGGTGAATAAATAAGATGCCCCTTGTTCTTAAGTTTACAGTCATAACAGTAACAATGCTACCATTTATTTGACACCGGTCATGGGCCAGGCACTGTGCTGAATGGTTCACGGCCATTATTATCTGATCTAATCCTTATGTCAGCACTGGATGGCAGATTGTTTACCCTATTTTATAGGTTGGGAAACTGAGATTTCAAGAGACTAAAATGACTTGCCTAACATCACATAGCTACTAAATGATAAAGATAGGAATTGATGTTAGGACTGTTAAAACTTCTGAACCCAGATTCTTTTGCATTGTACCACACTGTCCAGGAATAATTCAGAATCAATTGTGATAGATACAGAATTTCTAAGAAATAATTTCCAAGTTGCACTTATTTGCCCTTTGGTAGCAAAGAATGGCTAGTTCTAAACCTAATTGTTCTTTTTTTATAACAAAAAATCTGTTTGATAACAAGATAAAATGCCAAGTTTTAAGTCCACATACAGTATTAAAATCATGAAAACATATTTTCTCCCTCTAAAGTCATCTAAAAACAGTGAATTCTAGTTAGGATTTCAAGTAGATACAATTTTAGATATTCAGATAAATGTATCAAGCTCATTGTGATCCCAATGTCATGACTGAATATAGCCTCTTTGGATTTAGTTTATTAGTGTATCATTAGTTTTCCACCTTTCCCTTCCTTGCCATTAAAAGCATTGCACTTTCTACCTCTTGGAGGCATGATACCAGGTGCCTTAAAGGCTGAGCTAAACATTAAGGAGTTTTACTCTCAGAAATTCTGTTGTCTTTAAAAACAATTGAAGAGGCTGGTGATGAAGCTTGCTGGTAGAGGGCTTACCTAGCATGGGTGAGGCCCTGGGTTTGATCCCCAGCACTACAAAGATCAAAAAACAAACAAATGAAAAAAAGAACCCAGAACAAAACTGAGAATTGGAGAAATTATTCTGTTACTGTTTTTAAATCCTTATTGAGTCTGTAAGAAGCTACTAATGTTTAGATTTGTTAAATCTTAAAGTTTTCTGGTCTTGAATTTTAGTTAAAATTTTACTTTTCAAGTGAATTATAAAATTAAATTTTACCAGTCAACAGCCAAAATCAGAGACATTTAATATTAAGTTGATTAGTCATCTCCCTGTTCAGTTAATATGGACTCCAAGACATAAGACTTTCCATCACGCTCTTTTCTTGCTCAATATGCTGATTATTTTGTAGCTAACCATGCCGTGACCACCATAAACCAAGCAGCATGCTAATTACATTAGAAATAATGTTATAATTGATTTCACTTCACACCAAGTTTGTGTCTTGGTACCATGATTGTGAAACCCATGTATAACATTTAAGGTTTTCCAGGAGCCATACACTCATCCTGATTTCTACCATCCTTTTCTAAGGCATGCAGTTCATAGCTTGGGTTTCTGAAAGTGTACTCATAAGAGAGTGATAAACCCCGAGTTGTCTAATATCCAGATGTTTGGGGCATGTAGAAAACACACACTGGTGATGCTCTGTCTGTTGCACTGGGCTGGTTGGTAGAGACTGGTGGCACTACTGCTCACAGGGAAATAGGAGCAAAGGAGCTAGGCAGTTTTCTAACTGACCAGTGTATGCTAGCAGAGTGCTTTTTGTTGTTTTCTGGTTTGAAATGTGTATAATTCACTAGTGTGATATTTGTCAATGCTTAACTGCAGGGTAACAATTTTACTATTGTTTTTTAAAACAAAGATGTGTATTATAATATTCTTATGAAATGTTATTTGACTCACATTTTTTAAAAATCAGTAGATGACACACCGTACAGAGTTTGGAAACAGTATTAAATTTGGAGATGATATGTTTTGGTTTTAGGACCACTTGAGTTGCTGATTGGTTCCAAGTAACATAAGTTCATTTGCTTTCATTTCTGTCTCTAAAAACTGGGGTTGATATGTGTCAGCGTACTCCAAAATACACACACACACACACACACACACACACACACAGGAAGCTAATGGGGATATGATGAAGATTGAAACTATGTATGCACACGCCCTGTTAAAGAAAGTTAAGCTATAAATTCAAAATTGTATTATCTATCTTAAATCCTTTATGGAATATGGCAGATATGTAAATAAAGTAAATGAAAATTACTTCATTCAGTTGTAACTGGGGAACTGGGGTAACTACAGGCTGCAGATCACTGCTACAGGGCACTGTTATTATCTATACCAAGTAAAGAAAAACATTTGGAATAGCAGAGACCTTATTTTTTCACTCGGATAGAAGCATATCATTTACCAAAAATTACCAACAGCTAATGAAGATTCAGTTAAGATTCATATGGATGTGTAGAGCCTTTGTGTGCTGTAGAAATTTATTTCCCCTAGTAATCATCTCCTAATTTCCTCCATATAGCTCAGTATAGACAGATGAAAAGGGGATCCCTGGGAGTTCTGACAATGAGCCAGTTAATGAAGCGACAGCTGGAACATCAGTCTAGCGCCCCCCATAACATCAGCAACTGGGACACTGGTGGGTCAAGCTTTTTCTTCTTGTTTTACTTTCAGATTAGCTAATGCCACTTTCTCTGTGTCCACTCTGCTCCCTTGTTAAGGAATAAATGTTCTCTCATACTCTTTGGTTCAAATACTTTTTAAAAAATTAAAGTAATTAATAAATCTGCTTAAACTTTCCAAATATTCCAGAGCAAGCTGTTCTTCCATCTAGGCTGGTCCAACTCTTTTTCTTCTAAGACCTAGATTCCAAATCTTAGGTTATTGGTCTGGGGAGGAGGGAATGGAACTATGATTTCATGATGTTATTTAAAAAGAACACACACCAGGTTATCAATATTCTCTTTTATAAATTTAAAGTACCAAAAATAAGGGCGTATTAATAATCATACTAACAAATGTCAGCTTAGTGAAGTCATGGTCTGCCAGTAGGTTTGGGAATATGAGTTCTGTGTTTTAGCCAGCAGGGTCACCAGCTTGCAGCCGCACACCCTCATGCTCATAAGATGGAACTGCATCTAACCTCAGTTTTAAAGTAAGAATTGACTGCCATGACATGTCCATTTTAAACATGATCGCTGCATTTTCTAAATTTTGTTACCACATTCTGCACATGTTCTACCTTTTCAAGCCAGTAGTACTATCACAATCCTCTTTTAAGTGCCTGCCTTTCCTTTTTTAAAAAATTAAATGGGTCATTTGAGTTAACAAGGTTATATATGTGAGAGTGAAGCTTGCATATGGTATGAAAATGAAAGGGTTCATTATTGTGATATGCTAAGGGGAAACATATGACTATTAATATTGTGGTTATTTGTACTTTCTGGTTATGGTTTTATGAGAATATTTCAATATTCTTCCTTACGGTTAGGAATTACAATGTCCACAAAACCAAAATCTTGATATTCTGCTATTTTTTTGAAATCATAATATTCATATATATATTCATATATGTCATCTTATTTGTCCTATTATTCTTTAGAAACAAAGATCTCATCTAGTTATCTAAGTCCCACATACCACACCCAAGGCCACATGTAATAGTTTCAATTCCCGGACTTTTTAAGGTTAACATTTTATAGGTTTAGCATTTTGTTTAGTGATATGTGGGAGTAAACTGTAAATAGCCAGAAGCCAACAGGCAAAGGAGAGGAGGAAAAGGACACTGGTTAGCTAACCTCAAGAACTTATTTGATTTGGATGAAGTCTTTCCATCCATACCAAAGAGTACTGTGTTTCTCTCTTTATTAATGCGAGCTGAGGATGGCAGATTTATTTGGCTATATCTCTGGCATTAAATGCCCAGGTTGTCCTGGGGGTTTTGAAGATTATTTTACCACATTATTGCTTCTTGTAACAAGTAGCTCAGCCTAAGCTATTTTAGTTCTGACTATAATTACTGCCTACTTTGATAGACTTAGAGGAGTTATAAAAAGATCGGGTAAACTGATCTTAATTTACAAGCTGAATATTAATCTATAAAAACCTACATAATGCCAAATAACCCATTTAACTGAATTTTTCACTTTTTAACCAGACTTCATTTGACCTTGTTCATATCACTCTGGCTTCTCATTAATATTTCCCATTTACATACTGTCTGAATTTCTTTCTCCCAAGTTTTCTGGGGCTTGTTTCCATCTTCTGAGTTGGTTCTCTAATCTCTATATCCTGTAGAACTTCATCTCAATATTCTTGTTTTTTTATTAGTGTTGTAAAAAGGACTTCCCATGTCTGATCCCAGAGGAAGAGTCTATGTGTAATATGATGTCAGGTGCATGTAACCTTAAACCACAAATGTTGACTCAGTGACTCACTGGTCCCCACAAGCAGAAATCTGGTCATGTAGACACACTGAGAAAGGCAGCCTAAAACATGGGTCTTGATGATTCACCTCAGCATGCACCAGCTCACTCAGAGCACCTGCCTCTGCTCCATCATTGCATCTAGTTAACTTGCTTATTTGTTGTTTCATGTGAACAAATGTTCCTGAAGTCCCTCTCCTCCACTTCTACTTCTGCCCCTTTATTCCTGTTCTCCATCTCTATGTCAAATGATGTCACTTCCTTCTACCAGGTCCACATGTTTTCTGTATCAACTTTCTGATCATTACCCAAAATTATTACTTTTTTACTTAATGATTTGCACAAAACACTTTTTTCATGGCCATGAGATTGGCCTTTCATTTCATACTAGGAGATACAGGCTTTGTACTTTTTTGAAGTGGGCTGGGATCTAGACTTTTTTGGGGATAGTTTTGGATGCTTTCCTGCTTTCAGATGTATTTCTTTTAACAAATGCCAAGTTTGTAGACAAACACCAAACTCTAAATTCTAAGATGTATCATTTAAATATTAATAATCAATAATAATAATGACCAAAACAAGGCCCCAAGAGATTATTGGTTATACTCATTGTATCTATGAATTGTACTAAACTGACCACATTGAAGACTGAAATGCTGTATTTATCCACAGAACAGATACAGCCTGGAAAACGCCAATGTAATGTGCCAATATGCCTAAATCCTGACCTGGAGGGACAGCCATTGAGAATGAGAGGTTGGTTGAGTTTCAGAATTTTAGACTGTAAAAGCTGCGAAACTGTATGTGTCCATCACTGAGTCACCCAACAGGTGCTAAAACCAGCTTCATGAAGTCGTCCGGGGAATTGGAATGCATAACATCTCATCTTTGAACATAACTAACAGAAAGCTCTTCCTTATGGTGACTTTCTAATCTTTGGAGGCACACAAAACAAGTCTAGTATCTCTCACATTATTTTTTTTGACATTTGAAAATAATCAAATAACAGTTGATTATTCCCTCATTTCTAAGCCAGATATTCCTGCATCCTTCAACATTCCTTCTAACATTTACCAGCTTTCTGTGTCACTCCATATCTACTTTTCTGAGCATTGTCCAGCTTATCTATATTTCTTCTAGAATGCTGAGATCGTAGGTGAGCAGCTTCTTTTCTACTATTTGAGGTGAATTATGAAAATTTACTCTTTATGCTGCACATGGGAGTAAGCTGCACATAAATCTGTGCTAAGATCAAAAAAGTTTTTATTTTCAAAATTCATTCCTATGAATTTTTACTACCGAAACAGTTGTTCTTTTTAAAATTCAGAAAACAAATTAACTTATCATTGGTAACATACACACCCACACATACACACACAAAGAATTATGACTTCTTATAATTAGTCCATTAAATAAAGCAGATCTGTTTTTGTTAAAGACAATACTACTCTTGTGGTTTTCCTAAACTGTGAAGAAATATTTATATCTAGCTTGCCTAAACACTTCTTTGACAATGAGTAGTAAGTTTAGCCTCTGTCAGATGAGGTAAGACTCTTCTCATCTATGGGGCTAGGAAAAGCTTTTTTAAAGTAAAAGTATGAGTGGTTGAATATATTTTTGGTGCTTGTTTATGATCTGGTGTCTCAGGAGCAGTGCAAGTGGTTTGAGGCTAAGTTGGCAAAAGATTGCAAGTCAATCTCTTTTATGGTAAACAGCAGTGCATTGGTGCAACTGGATAATTGATGTGTGTATCTGTACTTTAAGACATTCACTCACATTTTATAGTTTCTTCTATCTCTGAGACTCTCAAAGGGCCTTTTTGTTAACATCTTAAGCTTTGAAGGTGGGCTTTGGAGGTCTTTATTCAAATTTCTGAAAACTCTGTGTTTCTCCTTCTAATTCCATACCGAAGACATTGCGGATATTCAGGAGGGGAACCAGTAGGGGTGGTCTCAGAAGTGTTGGCAGCAACTGGGTGATAATAGGAGCTTCCTTTAACACTGCAGACTTAGTTGTGACTCAACTACAGCAAAAGGTCGGTGAGGTCTTGCTTCCTTTTTTGCATTTCCCACCTTGTGCATTACTCTTTGTTCCCACTTCAGTAGTAGGACTCAGAAATCCACTTATTCAGCGAATGTAGCTCTATAATATGCCAGATAAGTTAATCTATCTGCTTAAATAGATGACTGTGACAAATATTCCATCAGACATTCTGTGCTATCATATGGAAAAAACAGCTACAAAATGCTACTGTCAAAAATATTTCTTCCTGCGGCCGCCTGCCTCGCAAGCCCAAGGTCCCGAGTTCGATCTCCAGTACCAAAAAAACCCAAAAAACTTCTTCCTTTGGTGATGATTGTTTTGAAGCCACCAAAATGACTGAGTCCTTCTCTTTTGTTGACTTAAATTGTGATTACTATATAGCAGCAGTTGGCAATTATCCTGTGAGAGCCTTGACCCAGAGTTGATTTTGAAATCACTCTCTTATGCTTCTAGTAAGACTGTTGGAGGCATTTTGGCACCTGACTGACACCGTCTGTCAGGGTTCAAGAAATGTGGAGTACTGCATTTGAACTTGCTGTGCTTCGGTTTCTTTAAGCAACATGTCTTTTATCTTGGCCTACTTCTTGCCTTTCCTACTATTAATCAAGTTATACTTAGGCTTACAATAGTCAAAACAACATCTTTATGAAAGAATCCAAGATCTTGGTTAGTTATATACTTAGGTATACTTAGGAAAGAATGTTATCCCAAAGACAACTGATAAATATAGTAGTACAATTTGTATTCTACTTGGGAGTTTAGGAAGTGACATAAGGTTATTTCCAGACACTTTTCCTTGTGTTTGATTTTGCAGATTTACTTCTCAAAAATACATTTTGCAATCTTTATTTGGGCAAAGCACTCTATAGTATGGAAGCATCTTGATTTTTTTTTAAAAGCTTCAGGATCATTTTTTCCTCTAAGATTGAAAGACATTGCCCATTTGGCTAGGTTTCTAAAAATTTTAATTTTACTCCTTTGAAAATGAATTCTATGAATCATTATCATTCTCCTATTTAAGAAGAGAATATAGTTTTATTTTTTCAGAACAAAGTTATCAGCTCTTTGATGAGAAAAATTTATTTAATGACTTTTTTTCTGACTTCTTTCTTGTTTGAAGAATTCAGTCCCAGTTATTACTTTTTAGAATGGGACATTATTCTGGATTGTCACTTTGGGATTCTTCTCCAATGCCTCATCTGCACAGTTCCCAGAGAATCTGTCCAGCACTGATGGCTTTATTAATGAAGAATGCTGTCCCAACTCTACACACTCATCACCAGAGGATGTTGCTAAGACTCCTGCCTCAGACTTCTCTGAAGGCATGAAATCCTAAAGTTTTAAACACTGTGCAATTGACTGGCTGAAGTGGAGTGAGTCATGAAATAGTATCTTCAAAACACTTGATGTTTCATTCATAAATACTTCAGTTAGAAAAGTGAAGTGTTTTTGCTTTGGCGCTTATGATAGTTCCCCAAATTAAAAACTGAACTGATATTTCTTAACTCAGATATCTCCCTTTGCTATGTGTGTGAAGTTCTGTGATCTTATTCCCTTCCCAAATTAGCAACACTTCAGCGTTAAGAAACATTTGTGCTTTTAGAATTGCAGTATCATAGGAGTAGCTTCCACTTAAGCCTAGCAAATAAGAGTGTTAACAGAGTTAGGGGTACCTTAGACTAGATTACTCCTTTGGTGTTATCTTTGTCCTAGTAACTTGTTGGCACATCTGAATTCTTTCTGATTTTTTCAAAGTCAAAAAGCAAAGGAGAAGTGGATGTCTAGCTCTTAAAATGATAGAAGCAGACACAATTGCTGTCTTTCTTGACTTCGTTTTACTATTGAGGGCTTTCCACAATGCAATTGTGATGTCCAAGTCATGGTTGTGTGAATGTGATCTGTGGAAGGTCTGTAAGAGCAAAATAGGGTCTCTCCTAGCCCCAGAAGATGCTCTTTATTCACCAGTTGTCTCTTTGCTGCTTACCCAGGTGCCACTAAATCCAGCCTGCTCTCAGCACCCAGCATAGTGAGTATGTTTGTGCCTGCACCCGAAGAATTTACTGATGAGCAGCCAACGGTGATGACGGACAAGTAAGGTCACATAGTTATTTTTTCACCAAGTTTATAGAATTAGAGTTTGGTTCCCAGGGCTGTGAGAATGTATCAGAGGAAGTATGCTTTGCTTTTAAGTCATAATGTGTTCTTTAAAAGGCTGTAGCCATACATGTTGGTATGCATTTATGATTTCAGTATGCATATGGTAGCTGTATTATGTGAGAAGCTTTTCTTTGTGCTTAGGCATTTTTATTTGGACAAATGCAAATAATATCACTTACTAGTCATAGAAATAATTTTGCACCAATAAAATCCCTCAATTAGAAACTTCAAATTCTTATATTGAGAATAAAGATGAGACTTCATTCTTACCCTATCCTGCCTGCAGAATCTTTCTCTCAGTCTCAAACTGGTTGTCATCTCCCAGCTTGTCAGCCTCCAATACTCCCAGATTTCTTCTAGGATAAAGTCCAAATGCTGTATCTTATTAGATAAGCCCTTTAGCTTGTAAATAAATGTACCAATCCTCACCAAGAACTCTTTCCTTAGCCCCCAACCTTTTCCAGAACATTTCTGATGTGTTCTTCCTTCTGTGACCTCATAGGTGTCCTTCTTTTTGAACTTTCCTTGAAGATGTAGATGAACACTTATTCATGCTTCAAGACCTAGTTTTAGGCAGGGTTTCCCTAACTCCACAAGGCAGAATTAGTCATGCCATTCTCGAACTTCTTGTAGCATCTGGTACATATCTATTCTAACACTTACCACATTGTATTTATTTGTTTAAGAATACATGAACATGATCTATAATAGATTTGAGTTCCTTAGGGACCAGGACCTTGTCTTCTGTATTTTATGCTGTAAGCTCCCTGTATATTGCTGGGCACATAAATCCTTGTTCAGTGAGTAAGATAAAGAATAAAACTTATAGGATCTCAAGTTTGGAGAGAACTCCTTGGACTAAGAAGGCTTGCTGAAAAAGGCAACTCAAATGACAACGTGAGTAATCTTCTGATAAAAGGAGAGGAGTGAAAGATGGAAGGGGCTGGCACGAGTGTCCATGCAGCTGGCCACCCATCACTCACTCAGTAATGAGCTGGCAGGCATCGCTGAAGAAGAGAAGGTGCCTATCTTATACAGCTGCCTTGGGCTGCTTACCCGGGAGCTGTGAGTTACCTGTGAGGGCTCTGCTTTGCTCCTCCTTTAGTTTAATTTCCCTGTCTCATGTTCTCCTGACCCCAAGTCCCAATTTTTCCTAGTTGTTTTTTACAGGCACTTCATTTGTCCTTTTCTACTTACAAATGTAAATTCTCTATGTTAAAAAAGCAATTTGTAAGAAAATATTTATCCTCTTTTTGGCTTATATTTAGGAGGTTTTCAGATGAAACGGTCACAGTAGCAATCACAGCTCTGGTTTCTTCTCTATTCCTAGGTTTATTTTTCACTTTTTAAAGCTGTTCATTTTATAAAGCTGGTGTTAGTTGAGTTGAATTAAATGGAACCTAAATTAGGATATTCCAATGAGAAATAAGTTGTAAGTTACTTAAAAGCGGGTGCCATTGTTTGTGTTTTTACATGTTATGCTCAGTAGGTCTAGAAAATTCATAAAACTGGTCGAAATGAGCAGTAGGGAAGAGGCTCGATCCAGACCCCCCAGGATTCCTACAGTTCACTTGAGTTCCCTGTCTCTTGCTCACAAATACAACAATGTGGGGGAAAATTTCTATTCATGCCTAGGCGGTTTTCATTTTCAATTTTGAGAAATGAGAAAGGATCTAGTTATTGACTGTCCCTAATCATAATTTCAGGTGTTTAAAATCCCAGCAGCTTCACATCATTATAGTCCAATTGGTGCTCATTCTAAAAGGGAGCAATGACACATATATGCAAGCAAATGCTTGTAAATTCAAAGAGTGTTTTCAGAAATCAAAGAAACTTTCCCAGTCTCTTTCATGTGTGTTCTCTCTGTGCCTGTGACGATGGTAACACTGCAGTCTCCGGCTTACTGTTAGAGTGGGACAACTGGCTTCCTTTCTGGGACTTTTCCAAGACTCATGGTTGTATGTTATATCTTCAAACCCTAACTGACTTTCACAGAAAGTATTCCTCTCTTTTCTTTGCAGATGCCATGACTGTGGAGCCATTCTTGAAGAATATGATGAAGAAACTCTTGGGCTGGCTATTGTGGTCCTTTCCACATTCATTCATTTGAGCCCAGACTTGGCAGCTCCTCTGTTGTTGGATATAATGCAGTCTGTGGGAAGGTAAATGTCAGCTTTTGTTTTGTTTTGGTAGGAAACAGCCCTACTTAAATAAAAACCACCAGTTCAAAAATGAAACAATCAGTCACCTTGTAGATGCTTGTGGTCTGTGGGATCAATTCAAATTAATTAAAAAAAACCTGAAAAAAACCCTGAATGGACTGATCATTTGATTGAATTCCCCAGCTGCATAAGGTTGCGCATCTTGCCATCAGAATAAAGTTAGAGAATGCTGCACTGAGAATACTCTATTGTTTGTTCAGGTTATTGTTCTCTATTATGGTATGAGCTAATGTGTACAACAGTACAAGGAATTTTCAGTAGTCCATGGTAAGCACTGCCATTATTATTATCATTACTGTTATCATCATCTCTTTACCAATTTTGAGATGAATTCATGAGACATTTTGTAATCTCAAGGAGGCCTTACTTAACTATGCAATTTACAGATTATGTGAAGGGATAAATATGAATACAGCAGCTTCACATTTCTGACTTAAAGGTATATATTTTGAGAATACAACTTTCAGTCTGAGGGTAAATTAAATTTAGCTTCTTTGAGTGTTTCGGTAAATAAATTCCTTTTAGCAGGTAGACATTAGAAGATAAACAATGTAGTTTATGAATATGAATAAAGTTGCAATTCAGTAACAGATTGAACAGAACCTGTAGGAAGGAAATGAGTTAAATTCTGCATGGATTCATGACTTTTCTAATCTGTGCTAGCACAGTGCTAGGTCCTGTGGACCACAAGCATTAAGACCTACCTCCTGCCTTTAAGTAGTCTGAGGCTTAGTTGTTGAAAAGGATAATATGTGTGAAATCACTGAGTGGTCATAGAAGGCAGGGCATGATTAAGTGCTGTAATGAGTGTGCAACAGAAATTCAGAATGGAAAAGATTTCTTAGAGGTGTTCTATATGGAGGAGGTGGGACAAGAACTGAATTCTGCAAATTCCTGACATTTGAAGGAGGGAAAGAGAATGAATTTTAATGGAGCTAGAATGTAATTTAAAAAAGAAGAAACATTAATTCAAAGTTAAGCAAGAAAACAGTAAAAACTTGACCCCAAAAGTGTATGACCTCATTATCCCCACTAAATTATTTTTGTAGTATCCTTGGAATCATATAGTTGAGACAGTATAAAGTTAAGTGTAACTATTCCACTTCTAAACTTCAAAATAGCCATATATGCAAAATAAATGATGAATATGGGAATGTAGAGAAACAAAAAAGATGAATTAATTCATTAAAACCTTTGATTTTGAACAATCTTAGTAGTGATAAAACAAATGCTTTGACTATCAGCAGTACTTGCGGAGTTGAGAGCTTTTATTAATGCACTACTATCACTATTTTTTTGTTTGAATGGTTATCATTTTCTTGATTCAGCTGATCTAAGTTAAAATAGATAATGTATTAGCCAGCTTTCCTGTTGCTGGCCATATTACCCAAACCTACAACTTAAAGGTGGAGAGTTTAATCATATTCAGGTGATTCAGTCCATGGTTGGCTGATTCCAAGGTAGATACATCATGGTAGAAGGGTATGATGGAGGATAGCTGTTCACTGCATGGCAGCTAAGAATCAGAGAGAGAGAGAGGAGGAGAGAAAGGAGGGAGATATACCCTCCAAAATCCCCCACCCAGTGACACACTTCTTCCAACCAGCCTCACCTTCTAACCGAATTTAGCTATGGGCTCATGAGTGGGTTAACCCATTGATGAAGAGCACCTTCAGGATCCAATCACTTTCTAAAAGGTTCACCTCTGAACACATGAGACTTTAGGGGGACATTTCAGATTTAAACCATAACAGATATAGAGAGGGAGTTGTTTTTGTTTTTTGTTTGTTTTAATGTTTAAGTATTGCCAAAAGTTAGAATGGAAACACATGAGCTTTGAAGAAAAGCAAGGAAAATCCGTAACAAATATGCTTTTGCATATTTAGGTATACTTATATTTAAATACCTGTCTTCTTTGGGTAAGCTAGCAAGAGATGAGGAAAGCATTTAATGCAAACTGCCATAATTCTTAGCAACCTTAATTACCAAAGCTGCCAAGAACACAGATCCAGCGGTCCCTTAATTCAGGGCTCCCTCATGCCTCAATTACACTGTGAAAATAGAAGACATTATGTAGATTTATAAACACTGATTAATTTATACTAGTTATAACCACGGACACTATTCTCAGAGTGATCTAAGAGTCTATAAGCTCAGCACAACTCTTTTATCATTCAAGTGCTTCCATATGATTTCCTATTTTGTTCTCTACTTGGAGCCCTCTTAAACTCTATCCATTTTCTAGGTAAATCCTTTAAAGTAATAGCTCCCATACCCTTAATTACTGTTTAGTTCTTTTGCCAGTGTTTATTTATTCATTGTAAAGCAGCAGCATAAGAGGGCCCTTAACCAATGCAACTGCGCGTGGTGTCTGGGGTCAGTGGTTGCTGGAGCACCTGTTCTTTTCCAAACAGTTGCTGGTTCAGCTGACTCTTGCAGTTGTACTAAAGCACATAAATTTATAGCATTCTCCTTATTGGTTTCTTCAGTGTTTTACTGATTAAGGTATATTCTAAATCTACCAGTTTTGAACATTTTCTCTCTGCGTAATGACTTATGGAACATTTTCACGCATAAAGAAACATATAATTATACATTTCAAAAATACATGTTACATGTTGACTACTTAATCTAATATACTGTGTTTCCCATCTTAATATGACAGATTTTTCTTCTCATCACTTCAATTCAGCAGCTAGTTGACAAATACCTTTGTTATTATTTTACTGTCTTATAGAGGCCTTTACAATTTGTGGTTTCAGAGGCTGGAGACAAAGAAATGAATTTGAGTTGCATTACTAGATACTTTTTTTGTGTGTGCAGGGGATCGAACTTGGGACCTTGTGTTTGCGAGGCAGGCAGCAGCACCACTGAGCTATATCTCTGGCCCTTTAAGTTGCATTACTATAGGGATGGACTGGGTCAAATGTTATTCTGGCATCTAACTAATCTGGTTATGAAGGCCATTTTGTAGTTTGCCTGGGTGACAGAAAACCAATTTTTAATTGCATGCCACTCATGGAAATATTTGACTTGACACAGAAGGCAGGGTTCAGAGACTGGATTAAAGTTAAACAGGGACACTGACCACTGCGTGGGCCTCTGTTCCTGGTAAAAGGAACTGTCAGTAGTTAGGCATGTTGCCCCATCTAAGCATGAACCACAACAGGTCCTACTTCAGTGCTAATGAAAACTTAAGATATTCATGTGACTCTCTTTACTTTATTTCCTAGATTGGCATCCAGCACTACTTTTTCTAATCAAGCAGAAAGGTAAGATCCTAAGTGGGTTCAAATCTCACTGTTTTTTTCTACCGCCTGTGCATATTTATCTCATTTCCAAAATGCTAGTGTATATTCAGTGGAAGGACTATAGTTGGTTCTAGTTGTAGCTCTAGAGAGCCATTAGTTGTTTAATTTGCATTTGTGCCTTTATTTATTGATGCACTCTTTTTAGTCCACAAATACTTTCAAGCCCACCTTGTACTAGACACTTAGGTTTTAATTAGGGGCAAATTGACATGATTCCTGCCCATATGGGGCTTGAGGTCCACTAGGGAGACCAACGTGAAATTTTCACCCAAATTTGTAATTGTAAACTGTGCTATGTGCTATGAAGAAAAGGTGTAGAGAGATTTCTATAACATTAATTCATTCAACAAGCACTTATGGAGTTATTACTTGGAAGTGGTATTTTAAATGTAATGGTCAAAGATAGCCTCTCTGAAGATATGATATTTGAACAAAACCTGAATAAAATGAGAGTAAACTATGAAGCAATTTATGGAACAGTAAAGGCAAAGGCTTCAAGTCGGGAAAATGCATGGTATATCTGGGAACAGACCAGTTTGGCTACAATGAACACAGAAAAGGGGCAAGAGGTGAGATAGACAAGGTAGTGAAGAGCCAGGCCAGGTAGAGCCTTACAGATTATTATCACGAGTTTAGGTCTTACTGAGTGAAACAAGGAGCCACTGGAGCAAGGAGCAACATGCTTTACCATATGATTTGAAAGGATTATTCTCTAGTCAAAATACAAACTCAAAGAATGCAATGGTGATTACCAGTGGCTAGGCATAGGGCCATCAGGAGTTGCTTAATCAACAGGCATAAAATTGCAGTTAAGCAGCTACACAACACTGAACCTACAGTCAACAATAGTATATGGTACACTTAAAATCTTAAAGTAGATTTCATGTTGTGTTCTTATAAGAAAAAAAATTTAAATATTTAAAATTAAAAATTAAAAACAAAAGAATCACCTTGACATGTTACTAAAATAGGTCGTGGAATCTATAAAGAACTTAAAAAAATCAGACCTCCCTAATTTAAAGACCCCCCCAAAAAGACGCAGTCCAAAAATGACCATCTGAAATGAACAGACATTTCTCAGACAAAGAAGTAGAAATAGCAAACATATTAAAAAATGTTCAACATCACTGGTCATTCGAGAGATGCAAATGAAAACAATACTGAGATTCCATCTCACTCCAGAAAGAATGGCTGCTATCATGAAATCAACCAATAACAAATGCTGGCGGGGGTGTGGGGAAAGAGGAACCCTGCTCCACTGCTGGTGGGAGTGTAGACTGGTGCAAGCACTGTGGAAATCAGTATGGAGATACCTCAAAGAACTAGGACTGGAAGTCCCATTTGACCCAGCTATTTCCCTCCTGGGTGTCTTCCCCAAAGAATTAAAAGAATCATACCACAGTGATATATGTGCACCCATGTTCATAGCAGCACAGTTTGTAATAGGTAAAACTTGGAAACAGCCCAAATGCCCATCAACTGGAGACTGGATAAAGAAAATGTGGTTATTTTATAAAATGGAGTACTACTCAGCCATAATAAATGAAAAATTAGAGACATTTATAGCTAAATCGATGTACATTGAGGCCATTCAAATAGGACACACATGTGTAAATACCTAATAGTTTCTCTAGTGTGAGAACCTGAAAGTGTAAATAAGGACTAAAAGATATAATAAATAATGTGAAATAGGAAGAAAAGGGGCAAAGAGGAAGGGGAAGTGGGAGGGGTAGGGGAAAGGAAAGAAGAGAATGAATTAATAAGAGAAAATGAAAAAATGGAAACAAAGTCTTTGTAAATAGGGAGGGATGGAGGGGTTGAAGGGAGGGCAGGGGAAGGGGGAAAAATAAGAACCAAGAGAGATTATGTAAAGGTGCAAATTTCCAATGATGAATGTCATATTGTTTACCTAAGATGTACCAATAAAATAAAATTTTAAAAACAATGAGTCATGGAGATGAGAGAGGAAGCAGGGAAACCAGTTTGTAAACCATTTCATTGTTCAGGTAAGAGATAGTGGTTGCTTGCTTTCAGGTGGTGAGAAATTGTCACATTAAGGATGTAGTTAAGAAATACTTTGAAAGTAGAGCCAACAGATTTTGCTGATTGGATGTTAGGTGTGGGAGAAAGGAGGCAAGAATGACTCCCAGATATGGGTAAATTTACTGAATTTTCTCATCTATGAAAGGATACTAACATATGCCCTTCCTGTGCCACAGGGGTATTTTCTAGCACTCCCATCATGTGCCACTTACTAGACAGGCAAGCCTAAGTGAGAGCTGATGGCATGAGTGGGTGTAACTCACTAAATGCTAAATTTACTAGACACGTTCTAGTCTGAACAGTGGTAAGGGAAAGAAGAAGGGAAAGGCTTCCCTTAAGAAGTGCCATTTTAACTAGGATCTGAAAGAAATGAGTTGAATTTAACTGATAATTATGGAAAGAGCATGGGCAAAGCTCCTAAGATAGTATAGAACATAATATGAGGAAGAAACTATGAAAAGGATAGTGTGACTACAGCACAGAAAGGCAAGCTGTTGCTAAGACTAGCTTGCCAAATTGTACATAGCTTATAAACATTAAATATTTTTGACTTGATTGTAGCAGCAGAGGGAAAGAACTGAAGGATATTTAAGGAGTGAGATATGTGTGTGTGTGCGCGTGTGGCATGTAGAAAGGTTACTTTGGCAACATAGTGTGATAGAGTGAGAGAACGAGAGGGCACGAATACATGCCATGTATAATTTTGAGTACACTGATCTCTTTCTGTCTTGGTTTTCTCATCTGGAAGAGATGTTAGCATATGCCCCTTTTGTGCCACAGAAGTATTTACAGTGAGGTCCAAGTGACAGTTTGTGTGACATGTAACTGTAGCAGGTCCTACAAACATAAGATGACAATGTTTTTAGTATTGTATATCTACAACTGAAGGTTTTAGAGATATTTGCTTTCTTTCTTCTGCTGTATTTGGGCATAGAATTTTAAAAGCTTTTTTCTCCTTAATATTTGAAGTATTATAAAATGTTTTAAGTATACAGTAAAGTTGAAGGAATTTTACAGTGAACACATAGACCTATTACTACTTTCTACAATGAGCATTTTATTTGTTTTATCACATATCCATCTATCTGTCCTTACATCCATTTTGTTTGGATAAATTTCAAAGTAAATTTCAGGCTTAGTATACTTTCGCCCCAATATTCTTCAGCAAAGCTAGTATTAACTATGTATATGGTTATTTTTTTTCTTCTAGCTTGTTGAGGTATGATTAACAAATAACAATTGTGTGTGTGTGTGTGTGTGTGTATATATATATATATATATATATATATATATATATATTTTTTTGGTACTGGGGATTGAACTCGGGTCCTTGCGCTTGCGCAGCAGGCGGCGAAACCACTGAGCTAAATCCCCAGCCCAACAATTGTATATATTTAAGGTATGCAAAGTGATGTTTTTATATACTACACACATTGTAAAATGGTTGGTACAATTAAGCTAATTAATAAATCTATCATCTTAGATATTTACCTTTTTAATTTTTGGTAAGAGGGCTGGGGATTTAGCTCAGTGGTACTGTACTTACCTTGCAAGCATAAGGTCCTGGGTTCGATCCCTGTTTTGGTAAGAATACTTAAGATCTATTGTGTTAGGAAATTTCAAGTGGATAATACATTATCATTAGTGATAATCACCATGCTATACTCGGTATGGTTGTTTCTTATGTGAAATTTACATACAGGGAAATACACAAATCTTAAATGCACATTCACTGAATTGTGATAAATGTGTATGCCTGCATAACCCAACCCCTGTACAAAATGTTACCAACACTGAGCTTTCTTGCACTTTTCCAATCAATCTCTACCTCCACAGAGGCAAATACTGTTGTTGTGATTTTCTTTTCTACCACAGATAAATTATGCTTTTTGTGGAACTTCATATAAATGGAATTGTACTGTATATGATTTGTTTTTTTTACTCATCAATGTTTTGAGATTTACCCATATAATTACTTGTCTTTGTAGTTCATTTCTTTTAAACACCTGAATAACATCCCATGTTATTTTAGTTAGTTTGTTTATTTCTTATTAAAGAACTTCTAAGTTATTTCCCATTTGGGAAATTACAAATAGAACATTCTTATACATGTCTTTTTGTGAAAAAAAAAAGATTTTACTTCTCTTGGGAATGAAATTTAATTGTCTCACGGGATAGATATATGTTTAACTTGATAAGAAAACACCAGAAGATCTTTTCTATAAAAAGTTATACCATTTCTCTTATATATAAAATTGTGTAACTATTTTATATTCCCATATCAATGTATAAGACTTTGGCTTATTCCACATTCTTGCCAAATTTTGGTGTTGTTTATCTTTTTTTATTTCAGCCCGTCTGGTGAGTATGTAGCGGATGGGTATCTCTTTGTAGGTTTTTTTTTTTTTTGGTATCAGGGATCAAACTTGGGACCTTGCGCTTTCGAGGCAGGCAGTGGATCCACTGAGCTAAATCCCGGGCCCTCTCTTTGTAGTTTTAATTTACATCCCCAATGGCATTTTTCACCTGCTTATTTACTCTTTGTTTTGTTCTTGTTTTTGGTATTGAGGATCGAACTCAGGACCTTGTGCTTGCCAGGCAGGCACGTTGCCACTGAGCTATATCTCTGGCCCATGCTTATTTACTCGTTTGTGAAATATATATTCAAATACTTTGCATTTTTAAAAATTGGGTTGTTTTCTTTTTATTACAGAGTTGTAGGACTTCTTTATATATCCTGAATAACAGTTGTGGTTAAATGTTTTGAGCCTATTTTCACCCAGCATGGGGCTTACCTATTCCTTTTCTTAATGATATCATTTCCTGAGGAAATTTAAAAATAGATGAATTCTAATTTATGAAAAATTTTAAAAATTGCTTCCCATCATTTACTCAAGACAATTTTGTCTATTTTCAAGACATGCAGATATTGTCCGATGTTTTCTTCTAAGTTTATGGTTTTAGCATTTATAATTAGCGTCTATATCATCAATCTCAAATTAATTTTTACATATGGTGTGAGGTGTGATTCCCTTTCATTCATATGAATATCTGGTTACTTTTGCACCATTTTTTAAAAAGGACTCTTTCCCCTGTGGATATCTGTAGTGTTTATTAAACTAAAAAACACTATATATTGACAGGCCTATTTCTGGGCTTCCTATCCTCTTTCATTGATCTACACTGATCTTCCTGTTGATCCTCAAGGTAGAATTATACTGTCTTGATTTAGTAGCTGTGTAGTAAGTCATGAGGTCATATAGTATGAGTCCTCCAACTTTAGCCATCTTTTTCAAGAGTGGTTTGAATATCTAGATTCTTTGCATTTCCATGTAAATTTTAGAATAAATGTCTACTTCTTAACCTACTACTTCTGCTGGGATTGTACTCAAAGTATAAATCGGTTGGGGACAACTGATATAAAAATAGTGAATCTTCCAATTCATGAACATGGTATACATCTCCATTTCATAAGATTTTTAATTTCTTTGAGCAGTATTTTTTAGTTTAAATGTGGAGATCTAATACATCTTTGTTAAATTTATTCTTGAAATTTTTGTTTTGTAAAAAAATAAATATACAACATTTCTCATTGGGAACTTGTACCTTTACATGTTGCATCTTGGTTCTTATTTTTTCCATATTCCTAGCCCTCCCTTCACCCCCTCCACCCTTCCCTATTTACAAAGACTTTATTTCCATTTTTTCCATTTCTCATCATTTTTCCTTTCC